AGGGCCCTTATACGGTCAATATTGTTGAATCAATTGCTTTAAACATTTTAGTATATTTACAATAAAAGGTGTTAGAAATATATATGATAGGTCATTTAAATGGTTAATGTATGTTTTTTTATGATTATATTATACATATGAGAAGTTATTACTAAAGTATATTTATTTAAAACCTAACACCTATAGTGATATTGTGCTAATGATTTTAATACAGATCTCAAATAATAGTAATAATTAAATAATAAAATAAATGAAATGCGTCAATTGCTGTAGTATTGAGAAAATATTATTTTAATATTTAATTTATAAAAACGTCATGTCAAGTAAAAAAAAATAGAGAAAAACGATTAAACGTTTTTCGGGCAGTATCATAAAGTAAATATTCCTTACTGATGTCTGGGCTTAATCGTTGCATATGAAATAATTGTGTAAATTCGTGGTATGCTTGTTAAATTACTATTGTAATATTTTTTTTTTTTGAACACTCATTCTTTGAAAAGATACTATTTTACATCGAGTCTAAATTTTACAAAACTGGTGACAAATTTTAGCTTATTCTGTGAAAAAACCTCACCACCTGAATTAGTACGGACTAAAAACATATTTATGAACAATGTGTTTTTTATAAAAGTAGATAATTTGTTGTCCATTAGGAGGTTTATAAAAAAAATGTCAAATAATCCTTGATTTTATGAAAAAAAAAAACTCAGTGTAGTTTAGCTGTTTAAAAGCCCCCCTTTTGGAATGGTTTTAATAAAGACAAAATTTATTTGTTTTTAAGACAAATTATTTATGCTTATTTTATTAATATTAGTTGTGGAATGGCCGTGTATCCACCGTGCTTTTTTGGGGAAAGAATGTTATATATTATACATTTAAGCTTTTTCTTTTGAATTTATTAATTTGTTATTTTATTTAATTTAACACGTTTTTATTATTACATTTTAGTTATGCATAATTTTGTTTTCTTCCTTGTGTTTTTCTTAATCAGCTGTTCAATATAACCTGTTTAGCTGCGTAAACAGATCCTTCTTTTTCCTTCAGTATGTGTTTGAATGACTTCGTGAGATGTCTATAGCAATATATTTTTTAAGTGAAAACTTCTATAGGGGCATTTGGCACTGTTTTTGGAGTGTGAAGTAGACTGATCCGTCAGATTTCCGAAGTGTTAACGCTCGGGTGAAGTCGGCTAGAGTCGACTAATTGAAATTATATATGGATTAAAATATCTTAGAAACTAAAAATCGGGCCTGCATACTGTATGTTAGGAAATTGTTCAGCATTTCATCCTCTCTGTTATAGGCTGAAATTGAAAATTGTGTATTAATGCGACGCCGTGTTAGGGAGGCGAAAAGGAAAAAATAGTGTCGAAAACCAAATGGTAACTGGTTTAGTTATGGATTAAAATATTTCTGATACTAAAAATCGGACTTCTATACTGTAAGTGAGGTTATTGTTCAGTATTTCATCTTCTTTGTGATGAGCTATTATTCAAATTTTGTATCTTTCCCGAGCAAAGTGTAGGAGAAGGAAAAAGTGTCCAAAACCAAATAGTAACGAGTTTATGCTAATTGAAACTTTATTTTTACAAAATTGTTAACAATATATATATATATGTATTTGTCTATCAAAAATTTATTTGCGCCTGTCAACTTATAGTTGACAATAGCATATATAACAATATATAAATAAATATAACTATATACATATATATATATATATATATATATATATATATATATATATATATATATATATATATATATATATATATATATTATATATATATATATATATATATATATGACAACAATATATAAAAAATAAGAAAAGAAATCATTTAAATGATAATATTAGCAGAAATTCTTAGGCATAATAAAAAATATATATTAATATAACATTACATAACCTTCCAATTGGAGACTTCCACAAAAATATTATATAGTCGTTGAATAAAATGTAAACTAGTAAATATTTCTGATTTAAATAAGTACATTAGTATTCATCAAGGACATTTTTAGATTGACCTTGCTTTGAGGTCTTTAAGACCTGCATATGTAAAACGGGGAAATGTTCAGCATTTCATCCTCTTTATAATGAGCCATTATTTATAATTTGTATTTCATATTATTAATCTCGCATTGTTGATGTTTTCGCTTCCATCGTGTGGTCTAAAGAACACACCTTAGTTTTATTTTTTATTTTTGTTGTTTGTCTGACCTGATGAATTGGCGAAACGTTGGCAAGTTAACTATTTACCTATATATCGAAGAATCATGGCTTTTTGTTTAGATTTGGATTTTTCTATTTATAACATTATTATTAACATTTATATCATTAGTTGTGGTCAAATATTTGTTTGTTTATCGCATTCTATTTAACAAAAAACGTGACATTTAAATAACACAAAACCTAAATTTTCTGCTATTCTATTAGTTTGGAATAGGACTATGGTCTTTATGAACTATTTTTTTTTCTCTTCAGATCTACTATCATCTATTTAAATATTTTTCATTACTTAAAAGGCACCATGTATTTCGGTATTATTAATCTATTAGTAAGCAGTTTGTATTATAATTCTTTGTGTCTATTAGTATAATTTAATAGGAGTTAAAAAAAATTATTGTAAATATAATATGATCTCTAGTATTCTTGTATATAAGTTCTGTATCACATTTTGATAGTTAAAGTATAACTTATTATTTTTTTTCATGATAATTTAAAATTAATCAACTATTATTAATTGATATTGTTATACTATTGTGAATTAAATTGTTTATTCATCAAAATTTGTATGTAATTATTGAAGTTATTATTATTATTATTAACAAATAAATATTGAAATATAAATTTACTAAAACTTTAATAAAAATAAATTTTTCAAACTCATTCCTGAAGATTCTGCTTGGACTCTCTGCCAAATTTTTGAAAATAAATCGCTTATATACAATACTTTTACATAGTTGATGAAAATATTATTATATATATTCAATCCATCAGTTTTAATTTAATTTTTCATGCATGTTTTCAGCTCTTTATACCATCTTAAGATGGAAATTTATAAATTATAACAGCCACAATTACTTTTCATAACAATTATGATTTTATATTCTTCTTACTCCTGTTGTCCTTATGAATATAAATGATTTATTACAATTTAATAAATTATCACTCTCAATTTATACCGTTATTCTTTATTTATTTTTTTTTTTAATTCAAGGATGCTTTGTATCACTCTTCAGCATATAAAGTTGTATAAATAATACATCATACTATAGGCTCTATTCTGAATCGGTCATTTAAATTGTTTAAAGTAATAATATTTGTAATAAAAATAAAGCTTGTAAAATATTATATGAAAAATGTGTTGAAATTTTTTTTTCTGATCAGCTGTTTGATTATAACGGTTCTCAACTGTGTTACCTTACCTTGCTTCCAGTAAGTGATTGAACGTCTTGGAGTGATGCTAGCTTGGTTTTCTTTTCTGTCCTTACGATGCCTGAGGCTGCGAAATATTGTGAGGTTAATATATTACTTACCCGAATTTGAGAGATATAAATTTGTGAAGTTTTAATTTTTTTCAATTATAGCCTAATAAACATAACGTAATACTAAAAATGTGATGTAGCCTAATCAGTTTGAATCTTTTTCAATTTAAAAATAATATATGTAAACAAATATATGTAATATGTAATAATAGATAAAATTTTAAATTTAAATTATTTTTGGAAAAATAGCAGAATATGAATAAAATGAAATATTATTTAAAACATGTGGTAAATTTCAGCGATATGTAAGACTAACTTAATTTATTTTATAAATATTATTATAATTATTAATTAATATTATATTAGTTATGATTATTTATTCCTTAGATTTTATTTTATTTATTAAACATGTATAGATTTATTTTGCATTTAATAACCATTGCCCCATCATTTTGGAAACATGCAGACCCACTATGCGGTTTGGTATGGCGGAAAAGTCTATCAAAATATTGAAGGGGCTACTCTGCCATTTAAAAATTTAGATACCACATGTCTCCCTTTATTAGTTGTACCAAATAAATAATTTAACATAATAATAATTTTGTGTACAACCGAATTTAACCATGTTTATATATATATATATATATATATATATATATATATATATATGTTTTTTTTTATATATTTATAATCACATATCTTTCTAACACTATTGATTATAAATATATAAAAAAAATATATATATATATATATATATATATATATATATATATATATATATATATATATATGTTTTTTTATATATTTATAATCAATAGTGTTAGAAAGATATGTGACAGATCATTTAAATGGTTAATATATGTTTTTTTATGTTTATATTATGTAAATAAAGTTATTACTAAAATATTTGTATGTATGAAAAATTTCTTATCCTATTATTTTTGTAATGATAACCTGAATCAATTTGATCAATTTGATTGAATTGATTATTGATAATAATAACCAGAACAAACCATATTATAATAATATATATAACCAGAATAATATAATAATATATAATATTATTCCTCTGAATAAAAATTTATGTAATTAACGAAAATAGGTTATTCGTGCTAAAAAAATTCTTTGAATCAGTTTTTGTGTATTTAATAAGAACTAATTATGATCCCTATTATAATGTTAAGAAAATGTTCCATGTTAAATTTTATACTTCAGGGCTAAAAGTGTTTTCTTAGCTAAACATAATAGAAATATGGAAATATCACAATACACGCGACACTGTCGAATCGGAACTATTATTGCAGGCTTGTTTGCTAAGTAAGCGTTTATTGAATACACAAATGGTCGAATGGGACGTATTTACTCGACTAATTTAACACAACTAAATTTTAGATTAACGTGTCAGTTATTTTATAATAATGTTTAATACATATTTATAAAACTATATTGATGCTTAAGATTAAAAAAAACAAATATAAAAAATAAATAAAATGTGTACGCATTTTATTCTGAATGAAAGTTATGGTAAATCCAATGAATCAAAATACATAATGTTGATGTACGTACACTTTTTTTTTTTTTGGCGATGTTTCAACTATATAACTTCTTCATGAATACAAACAATATAAGAACAAGTATATCACAGATCAAAAAAAGAACAATAAGTATTAATTAATATATATAAACTTAAGGACCGGACTATCAGCTGTTAGGTTTAATATCAGCTGTTAGGTAAAATCAGCTGTTAAATGTATATATATTGAGGAGCAAGGAGAAGAATAATTCAGTCTTTATACAACTCTATAGCAGTCTTGTGTGTTATTTCTCTTCATTAGGGTGAAATTAAGTTTAATGTATATATATATGTGTGTATACATAAAACTGTGTGTGTTTTATAACATATATTTTTATTGTTATATTGTTAAATAATATATATATATATTATTTAACAATATAACAATAAAAATATATGTTATAAAACACACACAGTTTTATGTATACACACATATATATATACATTAAACTTAATTTCACCCTAATGAAGAGAAATAACACACAAGACTGCTATATATATATATATTTTAACTTTTTAAATTTTTTTTATTCACACCTCAAATAATATAATGTTGCGAGGTGGAGCAATATCTAGCGAAACATCCTTCTGGCGTGAAATCTACATTAATTGGTCCCGCATCAAGCTCCTCTTCAAAGTTCTACGGACGTTGCATGGTATGTGTTATGTGGCATGCAATTTAAGAGTATGTTCGAGTGTGTTAGTAATTTGCCATGGAACCGTTTGTAATTATTTCGTAAGTGTTCGTTCGCTAACAGTCGTCATATGATGGTTAGTGTTTAAGATAATGTTACAAACGTACCAGTTTTCCTATGAAGCAGTCAAGAGGATATTGAGGAACTTGCTAATCTGAAACGAGAAGCAGAGATAATTCGCTTTCAGTTGACAGACATAATATAACATATACGTAAAATAGCCATATCGACCCTGGCCACTTCGTTTATTAGTTCATCGTTGTGTCTCTGTAGCTTAATATGTAACCGGGAATGAAGAGTAAGTATGTATTGGTCGATTGAAGCTTGTCTGATTTTGATTTTAATTTAATAACATGAATACGGTAAATACAATTTTTATATTAATTAGCCATACAATATCCAATTTTATTTATTTATTATTTTTAAGTATTAATCTACACCGGTCGACGACTGTAAATAATCAGCAGATGGTCTGATTAAAGTAACGAAACTGACATGTCAGGCATGGGGAAGGATAGAACCCAGCAGTACCTCTTCCATAGCTTGAATCAAGTACCGCGGTTTATTAAGGAAGAAGGTCTATCATCCAGCGCCTTTTTAGTCTCCTCTTCGTTTTAATGGGAATGTCAGCTGAAGCCATATCTCTAATTAGTAGGTTAGAAAGTCCGTGTAAAATCGTTTGTAAAGAGTTCTTATGTGTTGGTCAACTATAGGCAGGAGGAAGTCTCAATGTGAGATTTTGTTAGTCACGTACAAAGGTGCTTTAGTTATAAGTCGTAATATGTTTGTTTTAAAAGCCTGTATGTGGGTCTTTTTCCGTATATCTGTGAGGAGTAAATCCATATAGGTTCAAGTAAGTATTCAGTGGCTGTCCCAGTTCTAGTTTTGAATATTTGAAAAAATTGAGTAAAGTAGTTTGAACCGTCTATCGAGAGTCTTCAGTTTCATTTGAGATGTGGGCCCTATGTCATTCTTCTGTTGAAGGTAAGACCAAGGTAGTGTATGGTGTCTGTCGGAGGAATTTGGTTGTTTTCTATCTAAATTTATTAATTTATTATTTTATTTTATTTAATATATTTTGTATTATTACATTTTAGTTATACATAATTTTTTTTCTTCCATGTGTTTCTGCTAATCAGCTGATCAATATAACTTTCCTTAGTTGTGTTAATAGAAACTTCTTTTTCCTTCGGTATGTGTTTGGATGACTTTGCGAGATGTCTACAGCAATATATTTTTGAAGGTGAAAACTTCTTTTATTCGTATTTGGCACTTTTAGGATAGTGAATTAGATCGATCCATCAGATTTCTGAGGTCTATCATCCAGTGCCTTTTTAGTCTCCTCCTCATCTTGATGGGCATGCCAGCTGAAACCATATCTCTGTTTAGTATGTTAGAATGTCCGTTTATATTATTGTTAAATCGTTTGTAAACAGTTCTTATGTGTTGGTCAACTGTAGACAGGAGGAAGTCGGTATGTGAGGTTTTGTTGGTCACTTACCAAGGTGCTTTAGTTATAAGTCGTAATATTTTTTATTGAAAAGTTTGAAATTTGTGTAAGTGAGTCCGTATATCTGTGAGGAGTGGAGCCATATAGGTTTCAGTAAGTATAGGTAGTATACGCTTATTATTATATAAATCACTTGAGATATTATTACATTTTTTATTAAGTTATTTTTTTATTAATTAGTCAATTGTTTATAAATTGTGTAGTCATATATATATATATATATATATATTTAATTTATTTTTTCATCAAAATAATAAGTAATTTTGAGAAGATCATAGGTTCATTTAATTTTTTTTTGAGTGGTTACATACTATTTTTTAAAGAATTTATAAAAAGTTAGTATTTTTATAAGTTAGTTTTTGGCCAGATTTGTATTTTCTTTTGTATTAATTCATCATTTTTATTCTAAGGGGACTTAGTCCCAGAATAAAGTTCAATTTGTTATTTTATTCTATTCTATAGGTATGTATTCAGTTTCTGTCTCAGTTCTAGTTTTGAAGATTTGGAAAAAGTGAGTAAAGTAGTTTGAAACGTCCATTGAGAGTCTTCCGTTTCATCTGACACGTGGGCCCTATGTCATTCTTCTGTCAAAGGTAGTTTATGGAGTCTGTCGGAGGAATTTGGTTTTCTTCGATGTATATTGGAGGACATGCATTTCTTTGAAGTGTAAATGTAATGATTTTTTATTGATCAGGGTTTGGTTGAATATTTTATTTGAATCCCCAAAATAAAGTATTTTAATAATTTTTTAAACTTTAATTGCTGATGACACGTTTTTTTAACACTTTCACTATTTCATCGTAGTTTAATAATAATATGGATTCTTTGTTTTAAAAAATAAAAATCCCTTGAAATATATGAATATTGATCAATAAAAAATTAAAATAGGCATAAAGGTGGAAATAATAGCTAAATCATTTGTTGATATGTTTTAAAAGTTTTATTAAAATATCTATAATGTTCATAAATAACAATAAATACGTTAAGTATTTAGCTATAGTAGCTCTATATATCACAATGGTTGAGTATTTTAGGTGGTAAGATTGTTGCGAAAGATACATCGCTTCGGAGGGCCCTGGCAAGCTTGCCAAAACTTAGCTCAGCAATTCTGTTTCACTTCATCAGCCGCAACCATCTCTTTTGTTTCTTCTTTAAGCGGTTCGATAACTTCCTCAGCATCAGGTTGGCCCAGTTCGACTTCTGAAAAATTTAAAATAAAAACAACTATTTAATCTGTCATTTAACATTTTTTTTTTGTTTTTTGTTTTTTATTGGTGATATTTACAACTGTATTACAAGTAAAAATACATTCAGTAAATGTGAACAAAGGAATAAAATAGCATGAAATCACATGTTGAGAAACTACCCATTGGTAGCACTCTAAAAATGTATTTACAAAAGGAGATCTCGAGGCCATCTTCTTTTCAGACGCCTCTGAGGGTTGTCAGGGATCGAAGAGGAAGCAAGGTTAGAAACGAGAGGGTTTGGATGGTTCTGAAGTTTGTTATGGAAGGATAGGTATCTGGATTGGGCCAAGTCAGAAACATAAGGAACAATTTAACTTTATAGGAAGCAAAATTTATCAATAATTATAGCATATTGAATAGAAAGTTTTGGTGAAATGAATCACATAACTTAATCATATAATAAAAACATCAGGATCCCTAAGCACATATAAATAAATATTTAATGCATTAATATGAATATAACTTCTTGTTTTAATTTTATATTTTTAAATAAAGGCGATATATAACTAATAAACTACATATTTTTAATTACATTTAATAAAGGTTGAATTTGCCGTTTTATAAAACAGTTTAGTATTTTCTACTACATAAATTATAATTTTTTCAGATTACTTATTTTTTTAGCCTGGAGTATTCTATTAAGTAAGGAAATAATAAATACAAAATGAAATACAAATTTACAAAAAAAAAAAATCATTTTAAAGGACTCTGCGTAGACTCTTTGCCTAATTTTTTTAAAGAAATTATTTATATTCAATACTCTTACATAGTTTATATAGACATTATTTTATAACTAATAAAACTTAACATCCAATCCATCAGTTTTACTTTAATTTTTCATTCATGTTTTCAGCTGTTTAGACCATCTTAAGGTGAAAATTTAAAAATAATAACAGCCATATTTACTTTTCATAATAATTATGTTTTTATCTTCTCCTTACTTTTAGCCTATAGGCCATATAAATATAAATTATTTTTTACAATTTAATAAATTATCAATTTCAATGTATACTGTTATTCTTTATTAAATTTATTTTTAAGTTTCAAGGATGCTTTGTACCACTCTTCAGTATCTAAAGTTGTATAAATACTATATTATACTATAAGCTCTATTCTTATTAAGTCATTTGAAATTTTTAAATTAATAACATTTATAAAGAAAATAAAACTTGCAAAAAATTATATGGCCAATGAAAAATGTGTGGAACAAACATCAATTTTTTTTTCTGACCAGCTGTTCGATTATAACAGTCCTCAGCAGTGTTACCTTACCTTTCTTCCAGTATGTGATTGGATGTCATGGAGTGATGTTATCTTGGGTTCCTTTTCTATCCTGATTATAGCTGAGGCTGCGAAATGTTGTATGGTTAATTTATTATTTACTCGAATTTTAGAGATACAAGATTGTGAACTTTTAATTGTTTCATTTATAGCCATAAGCTTGCTTAAAAATTGTGATATAGCCAAATCAGTTTGAATCTTTTTCAATTTAAAAATAAGCCAGGTAAATAAATATATTTAAAATGTGATAATGGATAAAATTTTAATTTTAAATTATTATAAATTGTATTAGAAAAATATCGGAAAAGAATGAAATAAAAATAAAAATTTATTTAAAACATGTGGAATATTTCGGCCATATGTAAGAGCATGACTAACATAATGTATTTCTTAAATTATTGTAAAAATTATTTATTGGTATAATATTAATTATTATTATTTATTCCTTAGATTTTATTTTATTTATTATAGATCCTTAGATTTATTTTTGCATTTAATAACCACTGCCCCTTCATTTTTTAAACATGCAGGCCCAATATATAGTTTGGTAAGGCGGTACAGTATCTAATAATATTGAAGGGACTGCGCTAGCCTTTAAAAATTTAGATATACATGTCTCCGATTTACATGATTATTTTTTATTAGTTTAAAAAATAAATAATTTAATATAATAATAATTTTGTTTAATGTACATTTTATATATATTTGCGTGTGCAATCGAATTTAACCATGTTTTTAACTTAATTGCTTTAAACATTGTGGTATATTTAAAATTAATGGTGTTAGAAAGAATGATTTATGACAGATAATTTCAATGATTAATGTGTCATTTTTTTAAGTTTATATTTTATATATATATATATATATATATATATATATATATATATATATATATATATATATATATATATATATATATATACATGTGTGTGTTATTATTAAAATATTCGTATGTAAGTAACTCCCAAAATGATACCGTTCCAATCCTTTTAATACAGATATTAAAGAATAATAATACAAATATAAATAAATAAAAGAAATGAAACACGTTAATTGCTTTAGTATTAAGAAAATAGTATTTTAATAATTAATTTATTAAAAAGCATGTAAATTAAATAAAAAATACCAGTTTTACTAGGAAGGGACCAAGAGGACTTTGAGGAACTCGCTGCTCTGAAACGAGAAGCAGAGAGAAGTCGCTTTCAGTAGACATACATAATATATACATATGATAGGAATGTCGTATATAAGAGTTCATTGTTATGTCCGTGCTGAGTAATATGAAACTAGGAGTAACGAACACGAGCGTGGTGGTCGATAGTAGGTTGTCTGAATTTATTTTTTTAATATTAAACCTTAAAAATGGAAAATAATATTTTTGCAATAATTGGTCATACCATATTTTTTTAAATATCAAAAAAATATTATTCTAATAATGTTTTAGACTTTAGTAATGAGAAAATATTTTTATAACACTTTTACTATTTCATCTTAGGTTAAAAATAATTTGTATCTTGTGTAAAAAAAATTAAAAATTAAACTATACATGTAGGTGGAAATAATAACAAAATCATTTGTTGAAATATTTTTATTAAAATATCTACAATGTTCATAAATAACAATAAATACGTTAAGTATTTAGCTATAGTAGCTCTATATATCACAATGGTTGAGTATTTTAGGTGGTAAGATTGTTGCGAAAGATACATCGCTTCGGAGGGCCCTGGCAAGCTTGCCAAAACTTAGCTCAGCAATTCTGTTTCACTTCATCAGCCGCAACCATCTCTTTTGTTTCTTCCTTAAGCGGTTCAATAACTTCCTCAGCATCAGGTTGGCCCAGTTCGACTTCTGAAAAATTTAAAATAAAAACAATTATTTAATCTGTCATTTAAACTTTATCGGGAGGACAATTTCTCAATAATTATAGCATATTAAATACAAAATTTTGGTTAAATGAATCACATAATTTCCACTTACTACGTCAAATTCAACAGAATTAATTTATTTTTTCAAATTATTAAACCTTAAAAATATTAAATTAATTTTAAATGCAAGCATAAGAAAATCAATATAAATTAAGGCAATAAAATAAGTATATTATATATTTTTTGGATTGTCCCACTGAAACAAAAAAATAATTTTCTACATATTTCCTAAGGAAATTCCATTTAGTTTGTATGAAAACGTTTATTTCACACTCAATAATAAAAAATATAAATTGTTAACTTATTATCTAAGAACGGGATTCGTAGAGAAGGAAAGAGAAGCTGCTGGAACTGTTTAGGGAACCCGAACTTGTGTCATTGATGAAAATAACCTGAATAAGATCGGTTGGACACGTTAAGAATCACCGATCAAAGAATGCTAAGAAGTCAATGCCGTAGTACCTTAGCGCCAAGGCCGTCGGCAAAGACGGGAATCGTTCCTTAAGGTCTCTCCCTTTCATAGCGCCAAGGACGTCGGCAAAGACGGGAATCGTTCTTCAAGGTCCCTCCCTTCCTCAGTGCCAAGGCCGTCGGCAAAGAAGGGAATCGTTCTTCAAGGTCCCTCCCTTCGTCAGTTCCAAGCCCGCCGGCAAAGACGGGAATCGTTCTTCAAGGTCCGTTTCGGCCGTCCTTCAGCTCGAAGGCCGTTCGGAGAATTTTTCAAGTTCAAGGCCGTTCGGGAAATATTCAAGGTCAGCTCCCGGCCTTCCTTTAGATCCAAGGCCGTTAGGAGAATTTTTCAAGGTCAAGGCCGCTCGGAAAATATTCAAGGCAGCTCCCGGCCGTCCTTCAGCACGAAGGCCGTTCAGAGATTTTTTTTCTAGGTCAAGGCCGTTCAGAGAATGTTTTCTAGGTCAAGGCCGTTCAGAGAACTTTATCTAGGTCAAGGCCGTTCAGAGAATGTTTTCTAGGTCAAGGCCGTACAGAGATTTTTTTTCTAGGTCAAGGCCGTTCACATAATTTTTTTCTAGGTCAAGGCCGTTCAGAGAATTTTATCTAGGTCAAGGCCGTTCAGAGAATGTTTTCTAGGTCAAGTCCGCACAGAGATTTTTTTTCTAGGTCAAGGCCGTTCACTTAATTTTTTTTCTAGGTCAAGGTCGTTCATAGATTTTTTCCTAGGTCAAGGCCGTTTACAGAATTGTTTCTAGGTCAAGGCCGTTCAGAGAATGTTTTCTAGGTCAAGGTCATTCGGGAAATATCCATGGCCGTTCGGGAAATATTCAAGGACAGCTCCAAGGCCGTTCAGCGAATTTTTTAAGAACAAGATCATTCTGGAAATATTCCATTTCAGTTACCGGCCTACGGTCCTATAATATCCTTTAGGTTAACGCCCAGCTGTCTTTGGTGCCAAGACCTTTCGGGGACAACACTAAGTAGTCGAGATTCTGATTTCAGAATTTAAAATTTTGTTTACGTTTTATTTTTGTTTTAAAGTGTGTCCGTTTGCTTTATTTTGCATTACAAAAGTTTTAAAATGAATATTCTTTGGTCTTTTTTTTATTATTTGTGGTCACTTAGAAACTGAATATGCTACTATATTAAGGTAATAAAATCTTACAAAGGTTTAACCAGATTATTCAAAGTAACAATTATAAACTAATAAAAAAAAATTACTTTCCACTATGGGTTCTTTATCCCGAAGGTCCTCCTCTCTGTAGATCCGACAATGGTGATATACTTTGTTAGTCTGTATATTTAAAAGTTATCATAAACTTAAAATTGCAGAATTAAGGGAATTTCGGCTTTACCAAGACACGATGTTCTGAAAACAAATAAGCGATCTTGGAAGAAGACAAATTATATCTAGTAACCAGTGTATCGGTTGGGTGAAGACATTACCCCTTTCCAAATGTTGTTATAGAATTAAGTAACTGATGCTCAATAGGGAGAAGATAACTCAATTCTTCAATTCCCAACTTACTGTGGAGAAAAGAGATCTAGTTCTTGACCTAACCGCTTAAACGTGCTTCTTAGGTTTCTTCACTTTCTTCAAAATTCTTCATAACTTAATTACATTAAAGGTTTATGACAGTATCCAATTACAATAAAGTCTTGTCTGGTAAGGTTGTAAGAAAAGGATAACATTTAGTAGAAGTTATATATAAAAAAGTTATATATGTAAGTCAATTTTATTATTTATTTTTAAAATTCAATGATGAAAAAGTATATAGACATACATATATAACTTATGTTCACGTTAAAGGACATAAATAAAAAGGAGAGGAAGAGCTGAAATAACAAGCAAGACTGTAGTATAAAGACTGATCTATTCTACCCGTTACTCCTCAATATATATACATCGAACAGCTGATTTGACTGAACAGCTGATTTTACGAAACAGCTGATATTACCAAATATCTGATCCGGTCCCTAACTATACAATGTAAATATATTAATATAAATATATTAGTTAATATTATATAATATATTATTTTCTATATATACATATATATATATATATAGTGTCCTTTTCACCTGATTCAAAATTGATGAAAATATTAAATTTATTAATAATTTAAAAGAAAAGGGTTAAAAAAAAAATTTAATATTAATCGAACATTAAGAATTTACATTTTCACTAAACAAACCAAAACACGACGTATATCATTATCGTAAATGCAAAAGATCGTATGTAAAAATTCGAGTTTTTTTTACAGACGGGCATATATACAAACTTAATATTTTTTTATGATTTATTGGTATATTTCCATATTTTATTTTCCGATGTAGCAGACTACAAAATGTCACCTTAAGCGCTAATATGTAAAATAATAATTGAATAATTATATTATAATGATTAAAATGATTTTAATACACTGATATCTAAAAACAACTCTAAATAACGATTTAATCAAACAATCCTCCATTCCTTTAAATATTTTAAACAGCAGATCTAATAATTAATTTTCTATAATATTTTAATAATATTTTTTTAATTTGTTTAGAAGAGGAAGGAGATGATAATAGTGGAATTTCCAGTATGTCTTTTATAATATTCAATCAAAACCCCTGAATGGCCTTCAGAGTTCTAAAAAGTGGTAAATTTTGTTCGATAACTGCTCCATGTATCTAAGGAATCGTTCCTCCCCCTATAATACAATAATGAAACTTTCAAAATATGTAGAAAAAAGTTCACAACATCGAAGAACACCAAAAATTCTCATTTTTTTTATGTATAACGAAAAGTTTAGTAGAATAATATATGCAGATTTTTTTTTTTTTATATCAGTATCGTTTTAATTGGTTTTTTTTAAATAGTAAATAAATTTCGAAAACTCCAATTAAAATAAATCATTCATATCTATAAGTAAACTGAGCATATATTTTCAGAGAAAAAAAAAAAAACACCCACTAATTTAATATGAATACGCACACTATTTTACTCAAATTTTCTTATAAATCTGAAGGCAGTTAAAATATAAAGAAATAAAAAATGTATTTAACAAATATATAAACATATCTATAGTTTTTACGCAGGATGTGTAAACATTTACATACATTATTTTTCTCTCTAGAAAAGTTGAGGCTTAGACGTTTCATGTTGCTACTATAGTAATAGTTTTTATAACAGACTAATTTTTATTTTAATAATAATCTTTTTAATATAAAATATTTTCTATAAATTTGTTAAACAATATAGGTTCTAATGATCAATCCTATAGATAGTTAACCTTATTTTTGTATATTCTCAATTCACAGTATATCATAGCTAAAAATAACGTATTAGTTGCCAAAAGTATATATATTTTTTATATCAAAGTTTTGGTACGAATAATTAATAGTTTCTCCTACTTATGTTTCTATCTTAATTAACTGCTTTAATTACAACTAATGCAGATTACACTAATTAACCTCAAAGACCCGCAAACTAATTCCATTCAGTACTGATTGAGTTTCGTATCCTTAGCTGATGATAGAAATCTTATATTAACTTACAATTAGTTACTATAATAATAATATGAAAATAAAATCTTAACTTTGATGAAAAAAATGTATTGAATTTGTTGCGAAAAACGTCTGAAAAGTAGAACTTTGGGTTTAAAATAATTCTGTCAAACATGGTCAAAGTAGCAATATAAGCACCTATATTGAAACGTTTATAGTTTGTCATTTAAACATAAAATCCATAGGAGGACCAGTTTTTACATATATCAAAGTACAGTCTTTTCCAAGAAAAACGCTAGACTAAGCGAAAAAAATGCACGAAATTTGATAAAATATATGTATTCTAAGTATCAAAACATAGCATGGATTTTAAAATTTCATTTTCTAAATTGCAATTGCAACTAACGGTTTTAGGTATTATGACCACCACATGCATTCGACTGCAGACAGACAGTTTAAAAATATATTTATCCTGCTATTATTGTTTGTTCATTACTTACATCATTTCACAACCGTAATATTCATAACAGATATATTAATTTTAATTGTTAAATGAAACCTCATACCAGACTGAAACGACAAGAAACCGCTCGATATTTTTGCGACTACTTCAGCATTTACATTACAAACGCTCTAAGCTACAAATTAATTATTTAAAAAAAATTATAAATATGACAATAATAAGACATTTTTGTACATATGGAGTTCAGCTACAGGGCTCCAATACAACATCACATGATGTGTTTCCATACTGTTGCGAATATATTACAAATATATAAACATGAAAAAGTGATTATATGAATTTTAACCTTCGATTTTGTAACAACATATATGTTTTTAAAAAATCCATTTTATTTTAATTATTTTGTACTAATTAAGTGTTTTCTGAATTTCAGATTCACTTTCTAAATTTTTAAGACAAATTTCACTCCATGAGTCACATCAGAGTTTGCAAAAGCACGTGTATTTTTTTCGAGCCATGAACTGAATTTGTATATAAATATACACCAGACTGAAACGACAAGAAACCAGCTCGATATTTTTGACTACTTCAGAACTTATAAACAACAAATGCTCTAAGCTTCCAATTAACTATAAAACTCATATATATGACAATAATAAGACCTATTTGGACTTACGAAGTTGAACTCTGGAGCTCCATTAAACCATCGAATTCCTCTTGTATCCAATCCTTACAATACAAAATTCTTCATAAAATCTTCAATGCTCCTTACTTTGCAACAAATAAAATCATCCATAACGACCTTAATGTTTCATGTATTTCCGATTTGGCACAATCCACATACCTACCCTTTCATAATAAACTTCAAAACCATCCGAACCCTCTCGTTTCAAACCTTTTTTCCTCCTCGATCTCTGATATCCCTCCTAGGCCTCTGAAAAGAAAATGGTCTCGTGATCCCCTAATTTATAAGTTTTATTATAATGATAGCGATCGGGAGTTTCTCTACAATTTTCATGATATTGTTTTACTCTATATCACATTTACTACACGTATTTTTACACAGTTTTAAATTTCACGAATACTGAATATAGCTATAGTTAATTATTCTAGGGCTTGGAATGAGATAGATGTTCTAAAATAATACTTAACATTTTGCCTTAAAGTTGTCTAACGAATATATATAATAAAGTCATTACGATTGATCGGAATAGAAATTTATGGTGTAGAAGCAAAGGAATATAGAAGAAAAAGAAACCAGTAATAACATTGAATAAAAAAGAAAGATTTACAAATAAGACAAGATTTGCTAAAAGAAGTAGTTCTTTGAAAAGGGATAGACGTGGGTTGTTTGTTATCAGTTATTTATAAAGACTGAGCAGAGAGACAAAAGGAAGTTAGAAGTATTGAAAGCATTTTCCGGTCTTTGGAACTGTTATGTACGGAACATGTAAGTACGTGTGTAAGAGAGAAAATAGAGTCATTTAAAACTCAGTTGTCCTAAAAGGACTAAAGTTAAGCAAATGAAAACTAAAAATAAATCTTATAAGCAACATAATTTTTTAATATAAACCTCTAAAAAAAATTTCATTTTTTATCATGTAATGTATTAATGGTTAATGTTTTAGTGGATATAATAATGAATTTATTCAAATAAAATAGTGCATAATATTTAATTAAAATCACCAATGTAATATTAAACCACAATTCTTTTATATTTAAAAAAAAAATCATTCGATGCAATACTAAAAAAATCATTTCCCGAATAAAATAAAATATAAAAGCAAATTTAATGAAAATGAAAACTCTTGTTAATGAGGTAGAAGTTACCATGGCTTCCTAATTAACCTTTTGAAGCACAGGATGAAATCGATAAGGGCCTAAAAAAAAATATTTTTTTAATGCTTAATTTAATATAGCTTTAGGAGTTTGACAGAGCTTTTATTTTTACGAAATTAAATTATGTTCATTTCATTACTTGTATTTCAATGAAGGTAACTATTTGTTATCGATCCATAAAACAAAGTTATGATAAGTATTTAGCTAAAGTAAAAAAATATATAAAATTTGTATCAGTACATTTTTAGATGTATCACTGTATGTACCTTTGTAATAATAACGTTTATAGACGTCTTTTGTTAATTCACTTTTCAAGAGCGTTCACCTACATGTCAAGATGTCATTTACATCAAAGGATTGATTGAAAATACAATGGTATCTTAATAGCTATGAGCAGCTGTACATGACAAGTTACATTATATATATGTATCCTACCACCTCAAACTTTTAATTAATGAATTATATATAATGAGAAAAAATAAACACTATTTTTCCTTTTATATCTCGATGCGCAGATTTAGACAGGTGAAGCAGGTTTTATAAAAACAAATGGGCAAGTTTCGAAACTCAGTGCTGATTCCATCGATGCATTTCATCAGTCGATTGAATCCAGCAAACGATGGACGGTATTTTTGATGGGTTTGATGATAAAAAAAGAAAAAGTAAAAATTACCTTATGGATTTCAGCGGAAAGTTAATACTCCTAAAATGTTAATAAAACGTGAAAAATAAAAATGAACAGTAGGATTTCGTATAAATATATTCATGTAAATATTAATTTAATATAAATATGTAAAATAAATTCTGAAATAGCAGCATTTAGATTATAGTAAGTTTTCATCCAGCGGATCCATCCACACTAAAAGCCGGTGGAACTGCTGAAGAATCGGTGATTCAATCGAAGAAAAAAGGAAAGTGCTGAATTCCATTCACGGTTCACATCGATGATTTTATGAACGGTTCGGTGGGTTTCCGATGCGATGAATGAGCTTATCGTTGAGTTTAGAAAGTTCCCCATATGTATAATTCTATTGAGCTATTAAACATTCAAAACATAGCAATTTGGGATGAGGATCAATGTAAGTCAAATAGGAAGAGATTAAGCCAGAATTTAAAAAAGTAAAGGGGAAAGATGGAGTAAAAGAAACTGAAGATGATCCCATTATTTATGTTTAAAAAAAAAAGGATCGAAACATTTGAATGAAAGGAATAAACAGAAGTTATTTTGAAGCATTAAGTGTATTTCATGACCTATTTTATCTTGACTATAATTGATATCTTAAGTTATAATTATGTACATATATTTTTTTTTTTTTAAATAAAGTATTCTTCATTAACTGTTTTATTTTCAACGTTATCATCTCTTCATTTTTATTAAGATACAAATTTAAATATTTTAGTAAAAGTGAAATGTTAATAAAATGAACTTTGGGCCACTAAGAAAGCAATATCCTGTTTCTCTGCTTACTAATTATTAATAATATACTTTACTAATGAATATAAACACCAGCGACGTGACTGTAAGAAAGGTACTGAGATGTACTGCAGTTTAGCTTTGTCTTTCAAAATCGATTTCAAGAGATCGTAGCGGAGTTTCCTGGGCGAATAAATATTGTACATATGTAAACAAAATTTTAAGAAGATTTAATTTATTTTCAAATACTTACTTATTATTTCAACTTACATTTTTTTTAATTATTCATATTTATTTCTCTATTATCTGTGTATATGTATGAATGAACACTTGTAACCTTAATAATTACTACCCTACAATGTGGCGGATTGTATTATTATTCAATTTATTTTGAACTAATTATTTGTTTAATTAACATTGCCTTTTGTTTATCAAGTGCAGTAGTTGGTAGCAGTAAAATTGAGCCCATTAATACAAATCCGAGTCCGATTATTCCAATTAAAATTTAATGCATTTTTTTTATGTACGAAATTGCCGTTTCGATTGTTGGTATCGAGCACAAAGGTGTGGTATGCGGCCATTATGTAGGGCGTTGACTGGTGACGATAAAAATATCAATAAACTGCCATGAAAGTTTTTTTTTTTATGTACTATAAAATTAACTTCAAAATCTGTTTCCTTCCGCGATCCTTTAAAAAAAATCCATCAGAATTTTATATTACGCTGTAGGAGTCTTTTATTTCTAAATCTGAAAACCACCGAATAACTCACTTATTCTCTCCTTCTCCGAACATATGAATGCCCCTATCCAGGGTTAAGCATAATGTAGAGTCCTGAAATTAAAGATATTCTCTCGAGGAACTTGAGGAGACTGAGTGTGAATAGGGGCAACTTTCAGACAGCATAATTAAAGTTCCCTAGCAGCGTAATTAGAACCAGAAATGGATAATGAGGAAATATTAACGTCAAAGGAATAAATATAAATAACAAATTTATTTATGTCGCCATTTTATTCATTAATTTTTACCCCTTTTCTAAAAAGTAGTAGCGCGAGTTTCTAGTGTGTGGACAATTATACAAAACATACCAACAGCCACACTGCAAAATCCTGTAAGAACAAAAACTAAAAATGTTCAGGATACGAAAAAAACTGCGTAATGTTTGATCTACAGTTACGGAATGGACTTAATCCGTAACAACTATTAATATTAACTTTTATTTAATTTAATCATTTAATCATTCATTGACCTTTCTCATGACCTTTATCAAAGCCCTAGATAGCCAGGTCAAGCTTTTTCTGATAGCTTAGAAATAGTTATCTAGAATGTACTGACTGGAAATAAGACACTTATCAAGACTTAGGGAACAATAATCCTTTTCAGCAAAAGAGCACTTTCTCACAGACTTCATATCAATTCTAAAAGATAAGGATATCAATTCTTAATAGTTATAACTTCATTCACACGCTTCCTAGACCGTCCAGAATGGATTCATCCCCCCTACTATTTCTGAGCATATAACCCTTATGATCCTCAGACCAACGCTCATACAGTTGCATTCTTGAGTCAGACTCTTCACTGTAGGAGACCTGGAGTGAACTGATGTAGTCAACTCATATATCCATACTATATTACTGATATCATATTTAAGATGCAATGTAACATTATAAATAGCATTATTTATAAAGTCTCCACTGTCTCGAATTCGTTAACTTACGAGTTAAATAGCTATAGTTATTATTACTAAATATAAAGGTGTCTGTACCGCGGACTCTAATAATAATTAGAAAATATCACATAAGATATGAATAACCTAAAGAAGGTTGTTTATCATAATTATCAAGTTATTGACGGAATTGATGAATAAATTTATTTAACCTATCCATGTTTTTACTTTCCTACATATACTAGGTAAGAAAAGTATTGCAATCGGGTCAAATTTCCGATATGCGGTTTTCGATGGACGTATACGTTTAAGTCCGAAAAACACATTTTTAGCCATTGGTCTATCTGCCTGATGCCAAGATTTTCTCGGGAACTACTGAACCGATTTTGTTGCTTCTTTTTTTATTTTGTAGGGTTTTGACTACTGATGCCTGTGAAAGAAATTCGGTGCTCCATGCGCAATAATCGATGGATCTATACGTTTCAGAACCCCTTGAGTCCGAAACTATTAATGAAGCTAAATTACTAACGGTTAATTAACAAGTTACGTTTTGAACTTCGTCATTCCAGACTAATGTGTATAATTTCTAAATTGTGTCATTGTTCATAGACGGCTTTAGTCCCAGTTTTTTCTTTATTTATAAAAAAATATAGTAAAACATCAGGGCATTTGCTTGAATTGTGTATTCAATTCACCCTCCTCCATCATCAAGATTTTTGAACTTCTCATTCCATTTATCAAAAAAAAAAAGGTTCCTTTGACTTACCTTTGACAGTGACTGCTGTATCATGAAGGAAGAATATCACGATGAGCGTAGTTATTACAGCGATCGTCGCGTAGATCCCCAGCAAGCGATGCAGTCCCAGACTCGACAGAAGCCATGGATGTGAGTGCAAGGCAGCAAACGCCGATACGTAGGTCGCTGTGGTCGTCAAGCCGGTACAAACCTAAAAGTTAAATTAAAACAAATTAGGATACTAAAAATAAAAATTACAAAAAAAAAATTTACATATTTATTATACTTTCTCATTGGTTAATTGTTATGATGTTAATGTATCAATATATATCTACGGAATCCAACAGCTAAAAATAGTTAAAAAATAAAAACAAAAAAGTCGATAGAAGTGAGAGGGAAAGTACTGATTAGAGTACTCGGTGCTGTGACATTGCAAGTATCAGTTACTTGTTACTCGAGTACTTTTAACCAGTCACTACATAATTAGAAATGAGACCTTCTGTTCCAAATACATATTTACTCATTATATATTTGTATTGCAATAATACATTTATTAAGGATTATAAATTCGCACTTACTCCGCTCAAGCCAAAGTAAAACTGGTTATTAAAGCCTTTAGTTAAGTATATATATATATATATATATATATATATATATATATATATATATATATATATATATATATATATATACGTATGCATAATTATATCTGCTAGTTGTACATAAAAAAAAAATAAGAAATAAAGTTTCAGGTATTTTTAAAACTTCGGTATTAAGGATTAAAAATTCGCACTTACTCCTCTGAAGCCAAAGTAAAACTGGTTATCAACGCCTTTAGTTAAGTATATATATATATATATATATATATATATATATATATATATAATATATATATATATATATATATATATATATATATATATATGTATAATTATATCTGCTGGTTGTACATAAAAAAAATATATTAAAAAAATAAGAAATGAAGTTTCATATATTTTTAAAACTTCGGAGAGAAAAGATATGACTTCATTCAAGATTTTTTTCCACATTTCCCAAAGAAGTTGATGTATTTGCTAAGTATTCCCTTTTCATTTAACTTTTTTATGTAAAATTCACAACTCTCAAAGATATGTATCACTGCCATTTTCCCTCCACACCTTAGAAAAATTGGCGTATTTTCTTTTATAATTAAGTGAAGGTGCGTAAGCCTGGTATGTCCTATTCTCAGTCATGTAAGGACGACTTCCTCTCTGAACATAATGCGAGTAGAACTGCTCCATGGCTTTTAATGGCAGTTTATTGGGATGACCACATGACTAGGAGACCTTAGAAATTTTCGGCTGTTCCAACGTTATTTACCTGTCTTGTATCCGTAAAATATTATATATTCCTATGTGGTCAGGATACGCGTTGTTCATGGCTTTAAGGGTGCTCAAAGAATCTGATGCAATAACCACATTTACAACTGGCGAATCCATCACATGTCGTAGATCCATCGCGATAGCATTGATCTCAGCAGAATATACGGAACAACCTGGATGTAGCTTACATTTATACCATCAGGTGTGACAAACGCAGATGCTGATGATGTAAAAACTAAATTAAATTATGATGATGTTCTGCTCTACATTTTTGTCTCGAAGTACACCCCCCAAATAACAAAAAAAAAATTATTTAAAAAAATCACAACTATAAAATGAAACTGAATATAAAACGAGGCGCTGTAAAAGTATAATAAAGAAAACAGACATTGAAATTTCCATTGTAAGAATTCCAGTATAAATATATCATTTGATCAGACGACTGGATAGTGCATACATCTCACAATCAATAACGGCTTTATTTCTTCCCCAAACCTATCGGTCATTTTAAAAATCCTCATCAATGACGTAGGTGATCTAATTTTAAGATTTTTTTAGCGCCTCGTTCCCCCTCCTCTCAGATTGAAGGAGAAATATGGTGATTAATGACTCTTTACTTCGCCCTAAAAGTTCTCCATATGATTAATAATATTAGTTCATATTAATTAAGTGTAAGTTTATTATGAAATTAAAATTCGATAATTAAGCAGATTTCGGAATATATAAGTTACATGATTTTATGTTTACCTCATTGTGGTGAATTTAGAAATCTTTCTTCGAAAACGGTTTGTTCTATTTATTTATTTTTTCTCAGACAAGAAATATCAACTCTCATATTTTTTTTTTCTATTTATTGATGATATTTACAACTGTATTACAAGTAAAAATACATTTAGTAAATGTGAACAAAAGAATATAAAAGCATGAAATCATTTGTTGAGAAACTACCCACTGGTAGCACTCTAAAAATGTATTTACACAAGGAGATCTCGAGACCACCTTCTTTTCAGACGCCTCGGAGGGTTGTCCGGGATCGAAAAGAAAGCAAGGTTAGAAACGAGAGGGTTAGGATGGTTGTGAAGTTTGTTATGGAAGGAAAGGTATCTGGATTGGGCCAGGTCAGAAACATAAGGAACATTAAGGTCGTTATGGATGATTTTGTTTGTGACGAAGTAAGGAGCTGTGAGGATTTTACGAAGGATTTTGGATTGTAAGGATTGGATATGAGAGGAATTCGATGGCTTAGTGGAGCCCCAGAGCTCAATTCCGTAAGTCCAAATAGGTCTTATTGTAGTCATGTATATGAGTCTTTTGTAATTGACTGGGAGCTTAGAGCGTTTGTCTAGTAAGTGCTAGTGTAGTCGGAAACGTCGAGCTGTTTCTTGTCATTTCAGTCTGGTATGAGGATTCCAAGTTAGACGTTTGTCTCAGTGGAGTCCAAGGTATCGAATTTGTTCAACAGGGATAAGTGGGGTATTATTAAAGGATACTGTAGGACAAGAGGACATAGGTTTACGACAAAGGGTAAACTCACAATTTTAAACATTCATTGTGTATGTAATAGCCTTATAGTTTTTTTATTTACAAAAATTTTAAGTTCCCCACATACTGATACACATATCGAATTGTCGGGTTGTGCCTCCGAGAAAACAATAACGGAATTTCAAACAATTATAAAAAATTAAAATCAATCGATTGACGTTATTTAAAAACTTCTATCTTAATGTTTATAAAATGTTCAAAAACATAACCTCTTACAGCATAATAATCGACTACAGATCAATATCTATGAAACCTAAAAGCTAAAAAGAAAAAAGTTGATATATGTGAGAGGGAAAGTACTGACTAAAGTACTCGGTGCTATTACATTTAAGTATTCGTTACTCGTAGTGCTTTTAACCAATCACTTCTTAATTAGAAATGAGACGTTCTGTTTCAAATACCTATTTATTCATTATATATTCGTATTACAATAATACATTTATTCCGGGTTTTTTTTTACGTAAATAGAAAATTCCAAACTATAAAGCCATTAGTCTCTCTAATATACATATAAATAGTTAACCAACAAACGTTTTGCTAAATCAGGCATCATCAAAATAAAAAACCAAAATCACACATATATGTAGAAAGAAAAGAAGATAAAACATTTGCTATTGACAACTTAACAAGCCATCCAAATACATACTGAGGGAAACAGAAGGCTCGATAAACACAGCATAGGAAGGTTATATTAAACAGCTGATTAGGGAGGTTATATATGGATGGAGAAGAAATGCGCATGCCTACAATATAATAATATACAAATGTATCAATTAAATTTATTTATTTGAAAATATAACAATCTGTCACGTGGACAATAATTATAGTGATATATGAACACATTGACACCATATATGCAGAATATTTAAAATTAACAAAAGTATAATAATAACTAAATAATAATCAAAACTTATGTACAATAATAAATAAAATAACCTAAAGATAAGTAACTTAAAATCATAAAAACACAGTCATACCTATATACAATATATACAATCAGGCAGGAAACCCCAAGCCAGGCTTCTTTCCCCAACTATAGAAGGAAAAGCAGTACTACAAGAGATCCCTGCGCTAAAGCCAGTGAAATTTTATATATTCTGTATATATAATGTGAATGTATTCATATATCACTATAATTATTGTCCACGTGAGAGATTATTATATTTCTAAATAAATGAATGAATTCTTAAAAAAAAAAAAAACCAAATAAATGTATTATTGTAATACAAATATATAATGGGTAAATATGTGTTTGAATCATATTGACTTGTAGTCGATTATTATGCTATTAGAAATTATGTTTTTGAACATTTTTTCAACATTAAGATAGAAGTTTTTCAATAACGTCAATCGATTGATTATATTTTTTTTATAATTGTTTGAAATTCCATCCGTTATTGTCCGTTGAAAGTCCGTTATTGTTTTCTCGGGGGCTCAATCTGGTAATTCGATATGTGTATTAGTATGTGGGGGACTTAAAATTTTTGTAAATAAGAAAACTATAAGGCTATTACATATACAATTAATGTTGTAAATAAAAAGTTATATTAAAAGAGATGATGTTTCTGAGAAAAAAATAAAATAAATAGAAGAAACTGTTGTCGAAGAAAGATATCTAAAGTTACCACAATTAGGTAAACATAAAATCATGTAAGTTATATATTCTGAAATCTGCTTAATTAACAAATTTTAGTATTATTAATATGTAATATTATTAATCATATGGCGAAACGCGTCACTGGTGCTAAAGCCATTGGAATTTCATATATTCTGTATATATAGTGTGAATGTGTTCATATATCACTATAATTATTGCCCACGTGACAGATTATTATATTTCTAAATAAATAAATAAATAAATTCTTACAAAAAAAAATACCGAATAAATGTATTATTGTAATACGAATATATAATGAGTAAATATGTGTTTGGAACAGAAGGTGTCATTTATAATTAAGTAGTGAATGATTAAAAGTACTCCGAGTAACGAGTAACGAATACTTGCAATTGAAGGAAAAGCAAGACTCCAAGAAATCCCTGCGCTACTCTCTCAACCACGTCACTGGTGCTAAAGCCGGTGGAGTTTGAGAGAGAGCGAATTCGGTATTAAGGATTAAAAATTCGGTACTTACCGCTCTGAAGTCAAGAGGGAACACTTCCCCGACCAGAGCCTGAATGGCGGAACTGGAGATAGCCGAGGAGAAGACGAAGACGAGGAGGCAGGCGAGGGACTGGGAGGATCCTCCCGCCATGACGAGGAGGGACAGGGAGGAGAGGTAGCCGCCGAGCGAGGCGAGCGAGCGCCGGCCGAAGCGAGCGGCTAGCGGTGCTGCGAACAGCGAAGCGGCCAGCCGAACTGCTCCGATGTACACCGCTCCGAGCTCGGCTTGCGTATCTCCTCCGGCCACAAGCAGCTGGCTCTGCAACAATAAAAAATATTTTTATTATCAGTTATTAGTGTAATAATATTATGTAATGATAAATTATTCATTCATCAGCTGTGGATCAAATGAAAACCGCACAGTAATCTTCAATGTCTACCATGACTAACAAGTAGATACATGCTGAAGATTGTCTCCAAGGGAAAGTGGAAATGAACTGCTCACATCGTCAGAAGAAAAGAAGACAGTTGAAACAAGAGAAGAAGAATCATGGGTTGCCAGCCTCCGCAGCACCCAAGAAACATGCGAAAGGCCTACGTAAATACTAGGCCACGTTCACGATCAGATTTTGACGCAGGTATAAAAAATAATCAATAATTCAGTTTAGTTCATAATATAATTGTAAATAGTATTCTTCTCTAAAATAGTCTATATTTTATTCTATAGTAAATAGTATTAGGTAGTTGTCGAGGTATATATATGCAGAGGTAGTTCCATATAAAACAAATAATGTGTTTTTTTTCATTATCGTCAATGTTTTTCTCTTTATATTTCCCTGATCAAAACGAATTTATACGAGTTCAGAAAATTTGTAATAGTTTTATTATACAACATAATCCAAATAAATATTGACATTTTTTTTTTGAGAGCGTAGAGGCACTTAAAGCGTTTGGACGAAGAGGTAGAATAAAATATAAAATTTCCTTTAGTTCCTTGGAAATAGAAACCCAATTATTGGTCAAAAGGAGAATGTTGCTCTAGATAATAAATTTTAGAACATATATTAGAAAATTGACGATGGAGCACATTATTATTATTATTAGAATTAAGCCTTGCATCCACAAGAGTATTGGAATTGCATTTCTGAAGATGGGAATAAAAGGTCCCGGACTGTTAACATGTAACGTTAACTAGACTGTTAACATGTAACGTTAAAAATATATTCGTATTGTTAATAATTGGAAGTTATTATTGCCAAGGAACTAAATAAATTGACAACATCCCAGGAAAAAAAAAATAAAATTTCCTTTTTCACCATTCGATAAATCACACGTATTTTAATCATGTTTCAATACAGCAGAAAGGAAAAATAAAATGTGAAAAAAAGAATTATGCAAACTTATAAGTTTTAATATTATATTAAAAATAACTATGTAGTTGATCCCTGCGAATAATTCGTATAGAATCTTTGTCAGTGAAAAACTGACATAATAATAAGGAAATAAATTCATTCAACTTAAGATGGATGAATCAATTCTCGGTAATTGTGATAAACCAAGAAAAGAAAATTATTTTAAAACTTCATATTTGTTTTAAACCAACGAATTACAATAAGCTGCATCTTTGCTAATAATGGTCCGATTTCGAAGACTTTTTTTTTTAATATGTTGTTTTGGGTGTGACGTAGAAAAATAATATTCTTTTAGAATTATTCGTAAATAAAGTTTATTTTTCTACATAAATATTTATCCTGAAATTCGGAAGAATGTGACTATTTTTCTAGCCTATAAGAGAAGAAAATCCTCAAAATGAGTGCTCAATCTTTGTAATTGATAAAGAATTAAGGAAGATACGGCGTGCCGTTTTTTTATATCAAAAATGTAATATTAATTACTTGTATTTATATTTAGCTGCCTATTTTTCAATTGTCTAACTGATTTGACTTAATAAGCAGCAATTCTGTATCGGGACAAAAAAAAATTGTTTAAATGTTTAAGCCAACTGGATACTTGCTTGGAAAAAAAATCACGTAAATTTTAGCTGGAATAGATTTCATGTAATAAATAAGTATATAAAATTGAGATTTCACTTATCAAATAATAAAAAATAAGGTTCATATTTAACCAAAAACTTGAAATGGGAGTATGGTGAGGAATAGAGCTATGGCGTGTGGCCTGAGTCCACGTCTGCTTTCAGGTGGGAAAGTAGTACATATGAAATAGGCCAACGAATCAAGTCTATTTTATTTATTATTAATAAACAAATATAAATTATTATAAAAATAAATATATATTATTTATAAATATTTTAAGTAGCTATTCCCGATCTCATAATAAAAATCCTACATATTATTTCTAAAAGGTGCTTTTTTGTCGCTATAACTTCGTCAATTCTTCATCAAATCCAATGATTGACCACTCATTTTGAAGATATTCTTCTCCTTCACATGTGAAAAAAAAATCCTATCCTCCCGAAATTTCTGGAAAAAAAGTTATGAAGGAAAAGAAACTTTATTTGCGAATAACTCAAAAAGTATGCATTTTTTTTTTTTTTTATTGTACCCATGATAATTTGAAATATTACTAAATTATCTACAAAGTAAAATCGTTAAAATCTATTATAGATATGTATAATTTAAACAATTTGTATTTACGGAAGGAGTAAAGTGTGTTGAAATATATTTTTTTACGGAGAAGCAGAGTTGAGATTTGTATTTCGCAGCTCGAATACGAATTTTCATTGTGATCGAAAAATTCAAAAACAAATAAAAATCTTAAAAACCGGACAATTATTAACAAAGATACAGATAGTTTTGGTAGACTTATTAATGTCTTCCTCTTTAAAAAATATTGCATTTAGGAGTATAATAGTCTACTACACTTTTTTTCCTGGCTGATATATTAACTTTATTATTTCTTAAAGGCATTTGTTTGTTCTTACATTTTTTTTTTAATAATTTAGAAAATTCAATGATTGGGGCATTATTTTATCTTTATTATCTTTTCAGTTTAGAAAGATTTAATTTAAAAATAGGTCCTAACAAAGAAATTTGTATAAATATTTTGGTCTATTTTGTTAAATGGAATATTGTAACCGACCAAGGAAAAATATTGATTCCTTCCTTACATAATACATAGGATCTACTTATTTCCATATTATTTTGCTATTTCTTCACTGAACAACATTTTCTGCGAATTATTTCCACGGGCCAATTAGTGTATGAATATTCTTATAATGCAAGCAAGAGTTCTATAAATAAGTTTATTTATTCATGAATAACCAAACGTCTTATACAAACGTATGATGTTTCCCTCCAGGTTGACGTTAATATCTCCCTCATGCCCCAAGTACAACTAGCACTCTCTAGATTAGTTTTCCAGAAAATTTATAACAGGATTAAATCTTCACTGGACCAGAGGGGAGGGGCTAGAGAGGAGGGAGGAATAAATGTTGAGGAAATGGAATAATGTGGCCTTGAGTCTTTATTGCAGCGATCTATCAAAGAGCGGAAGGTCTCGGAGGAAGAAAACTATTAAATTTAATTTATTGAATATTCCAACAAACGTTTTCATGATACCATCCCAAATTATACTCGTGAATAAGAATGATATGAGTATTTATTTAATTTTTATGAAGATGAAAACAGTGTATTTGTAAGACACATGTAGAAAGAATTTTTTGTTAAAATATCACTTCCGAAATCAGGAGGTTTTGGATCTGCACCACGGACAATATCTTAGTATCAAACATTAGCTCACATCTGAGAAGGAGTTGGTCGGGGGATGCGGTGAAATAAATACTAAATTAAAAAAAAAAAAGTATTTTTAATTATTACGCCGACGTTTCGACCCGTCCTGCAGGTCTTCATCAGGGCTACAAAAGACTCACAATCTAAAAATTAAATGGTGAAAATAAAATAAATGAATTATAAGTAAATATTAAATAAGAAACACTTGTCTGATAAAGAAATAATAAGATATAGAAATAATAAGATTTAAATTATTATAACAATTATTTTTATATTTTTTTTATTTATAATAATTATTTCTTTATCTTATTATTTCTTTATCAGACAACTGTTTATTATTTAATATCTACTAATAATTCATTTATTTTATTTTCACCATGTACCATTTTTATTTTGTATCTTTTATAGCCCTGAAGCAAGTTGGGTCGAAACGTCGGCGTAATAATTAAAATTACAATTTTTTAAAATTTAGTATTTATTTGATCGCACTCCCCGACCAATTCCTTCTCATATTATATCACAGCCAACCATCTCTACATCATTAGCTCACATAATTTTCTGGATCAGTTATTCCTTTCTTTTATATATTTCTTGGTACAGAGCACGCTTCTGAATCGCTTTTGAACATAACATTAACTTATATCTTTTTTTCTCCCTCTTTCTTATCACTAGCATATTAGTAGTAGTATTACTATATTATACTAGATTACCATTGTTATATAATCCATATTTGGGTGAGACTAGTACAATTTCAGAGATTCACAGGAAGAAAAAAATATTCGAATGCTTAAATTCCACGTAGCAATGCACACTTAAAAATTAAATAAAAAAATTTAAATATAAATAAACAGATATAAATAGATACATATCGAAAAGAAAAAAAATTGAATTGAATATTTTTTTTTTCATTGATATTTACAGCTGTATTATAAAAAAAAAAAAAAAAAAAAAAGATACATCTACCAAACGTGCACTCAGGAATATAATAACATGAAATTGCTTGTTGAGGAACTACCCACTGGTAGCAATCAAAATAAATTAATATAATCTTATACCAATGATAAAAAATTTTAAAATATAAAAATGAACCCCTCTAACCTGCAAGAAACAGATCTTTTTATTTTTATATCAGAGTTACTTAACTTTGTTTTTCAATTAAATGGATATTCGTTAAAACAGTTTGAAATCGATCAGAAGTAAGGGATGGAAAACTCAAGAGGCAGTTCATATAAATCTTAAAAATACCTATATATTGTTCTATTGATTGTTTTTTTCTAGGGAGATAAGATATAAACGTTTCAAGGAATCAAAAATTTAATTTTAATACCATTTTCGTCAGTATATACCTAGAAATTTTGAATAATTAAATTTAAAATATGATGAAATATTAATAATTTATGATTAATTATAATATTAATTTTAATCTGTACATGTACAGGAATGTTTTATTCATCCTGCAGGCTAAATATTTCTCTCATAATATATTTAAAACTCAACCTGTATATATGCTTGCTATTTTTTATTATTTCTATTTATTTATTTATTATCCATTAGGTTAGTTTCAGTTCTGAAGTTAGGGTAATTTAATTTCTGACATACTCATATACATATTTATAATAATAAAATGGCTCTGTATTAATAGTTAATAGTATAATGTTAATAGATGGTAAGAATCTAGAAAATAGTTAATAATAAAAACATTACTTCAACATAGCTAATATACCCCTTCAATTAATGATGATACCACAACGCCATGCTGTGCCGTTTCACAGGTTTGTTTGAGTTCTTTAGTTAGGGTAATTTAATTTCTGACATACTCATATACATATTTATAAAGATAAAATAATTATGTATTAAAAATATTTATTTGTTTTACTAAGTAAAAAAAATATATATAGTTTACCTACAAAAATGGTTATATGTATTTTAATATGGTAATAATCTAGAAAATAATTAATAATAAAAAAGATTTAACTTCAACATAGCTAATATACCCCTTCAATTAATGATGATACTACAACGCCATGCTGTGCAGTTTCACATGCTAGCAGGATCACGAAATGAAGGGGCAAAAGGTATTTTTCTCTGTTAAATAAAAAAAAGTTGCAGACGACACAGCAATTTTAGCAAGACACAAAAATCCAACATACGCCTCACAGACCCTACAACAGTATTTAACAAGATTACATGACTGGTTCAAAATTTGGAAAATCCGACTAAATCAAGACAAATCACAGCACATCACATTTACGCTTCGACATGAAACATGCCCTCCAGTTTTCCTTGACGATACACAGATTCCACAGACAGACACCATTCACTACCTTGGTCTGACATTTGACTGAAAAATGACGTGGGGCCCACATATAATCAAAAAACGAAAAACTTTAAATCAAAGATTAAGAATTCTGAGTTCACTTCTTTCAAAAAATTCAAAACTAAAACTTAGACAGAAATTGAACACATACAATTACTTACTAAAACCTATTTGGACTTACGCATCACAGATATTTGGAACTGCTAAAAAGACTCACTTAAACAAACTTCAAATCTTTCAAGCAAAAACATTCAGAACAATTACAAAAGCACCTTGGTACGTTAGCAACATAACCTTACATACTGACCTCCATATGCCGACTGTTAACGAACACATACGTATTCATTACAAACGATTCCATGACAACTTACAAGGACATACTAATACACTTATAAATGACATGGCCACTACGAATATGCCCGGTAATGTCTGTAGGAGACTGAAGAGGAGCTGGATGAGGGACCTCCTCGCCTAATGTAGATATCACGCCGAGTGAGGTGCCGCTGGGCACTGATCCTCCTCATGCCTTTCATGACAATTCTATTAAACAATCGATCTCACATTCACTGGTTGTCATTAGCATTATGACAGGTGTGAATAAAACATTAAAGCTAAAAATAAAAAAAATAAAATAAAAAAGTTCTGTTATATTTTATTTTATATATGCAAAGCGGGACGGACCGTAACGAAGACAACAGCATGGCGAATCATAAAGAAGACATGGATTAATATGAATATATCAAACATTTCTAATAAATACATCAAAATTGACACCGAAATCAAAGATCTCTTATGACGATGTTGAAATATTTCTATATTTCACAATCTCCTGGTGCAATTCCATTTTTTTTTTTTTTTTTGTTCAATTATTTGCTCTTACTCGTTTTAATCTTGGTCAAATAAGAAAGATTTACAACCGTAATTAGAATACGTCTTAATACTTCACAGACGAGATATCATTGTTTGTTACGCCTCTGTTGTCAGTTTCTCTGATTCTTTATGTAAATTAACGTATGATATTACTCATGTCATTTACTTACTAGGTTTATAGAATTTTTAAAAACGTTAATATTTTAACAGTTTTCATGAAACGTTTCAGGAAAAAAATAATAATTCTAATAATAATAATTGATTTTCGCCATAATGTTCTGGGTTAATCATTAAAGTCTAACATTTTATTTATTTGAGTTCTAAACAAATAATTACTTTAAATGAGAAATAAACCTAAAGATATAATTTATCTTAAATTATTCGCTTGATTTGTATATTTACTTTGCTTGGATCGGAATGTAATGCACCATCATTTTTCAATTTACTTTTTAAAGAATTTAATTGCTTTCACAGAACTTTTAAAGGAAATTTTTATAAAAACTCTAATTGAAATCTTCCATAGGAAAATAGCCTCGCGGCGAAATATCAGGAAAAGGATTGAAAATATAGATTCAGTCATATTGGAACTGATTAAAAATCAAACTTTTCATTTCAAACTACGATATGAAATATTGTAGAGGTCGATTTAGGTGTTGCTTGAGACCCTCCATTACCTTCTATGACTTTATATGTAAAAATTACGATTTTATAGCACAAACGGCCCAATATTCTTGAAGGCCGCCTTTGTTATCGATTTTGTGATCAAATTATCTTACGATCCAAGTAGAAAGCAAATGTGTATTTACGAGTTTTTAGTACCTCTTTTTTTGTTTATTGAGAAAAAAAATACATTTTGCCTCAATTAAGGGCATTGAGTCTTTGGGATGTATGAAACAATCATACCATATACACAATAAAATAAAAACAATAGAAAGTTATAACAAAAGAAAGAAAAGAAAACTTGGATTAACAGAATAAATCAAACATGAGACAAAATTAAAAAAAAAAAAATAATAAAAACACATTCATACTTAGTACCTAATTAAATAGACTAAGTTTTTTTAAATATTTTTATATAGGTTTTTTTATATTCATATTGAGATATATCTTCTTGTGTTTGAAGTAGATTTATTTTAATGAAACCTTTGCATTCATAACAGTACAATAAATTAATACCACTAATTTTTTTTTCAAAATAAAAACACATGAAAAACGAACGGAAAGCCCGGGGACACCAAATCGTCAAATATTTAATAGAAGTATAAGCTATGTAATTCTACACTTATTTCCATAAAGTCACTTTCTACCTGATAAATCTCGCGTTAGTTTATTATTTTCAATAATGAAACATTGTAACCGTCCAAAACAAAATCAAAAACCTAAAAAAAAATTGTTAAAATCGGACAATCAGGATATGGTCTCTAGTTTTTGTTTGTATGTTCAACTGGAAAGGTTATATAGTTTGTTTTGGATTTTGAATTTTGAATGTGTTACTGAAGTAATGCTAGTTTTTTTAGCACATTCCTAATGATTAAAAAAGTTTAGTCCAATAATTGGAAACACATTTTATTTTATGTAATGTTGCTTTAGATGTATAATTCTTTGGAAATAATAAACCATTGTGAAATAATTTGCAGCGTTTTTTTTTTTTTTTTTTTTTTTTTTTTTTTTTTTTTTTTTTTTTTTTTTTTTTTTAGTGTTACTGAAGCAATGCTATTTTTCTCAGCAAATTATTAATGACGAAAAAAAATATTTAGGCCAATAATAGTGATCACTTCTTTTTTTTTTATGTTACTTCAGATGTATAATTATTTAGAAATAATAAACCGTTTTTCATTGTATTTTTAATCATCAAATTCCTTTATTATCAAAGCAAAAAGATTATTAGCCATAGCAAAAAGATGCAAGCCAAATATGTCACAAGTAATGGTCCCTCCACTCACTAAAGTAACCGCTAATGTTTTTCCAGTTGGTTTCTGGAATCAATTTATCAAAGCAAACCAGAGAGCATATCACACGGAGGAGAGTAGGGTTATGTGTTGTTAGATCGTGTTGATATAAGTGTTATCATTATGGCGACATACCGCATAAGAAAGGACCACTGTCGTTCCAGAAAGTTGTTTGAGTGAGGCTAGACCTGCCATCAAGAGGAACGGACGAGAGACATCCTTCCGACGAGGGAGAGCTGCGAAGAAAGGACCGTAGGACACGTTGGTTAGTCCTCTTCGGGTCTCAGGGACCCAGGCCACCACCGATATGAGGCTGAGGAAGGATAACCCTCCGCAGATAAGCGAAGACAGCTGCCATCGGTCCTGAAAAGGATGAAACAAAATAAAATTAATTTATCCGAGAAGGATTTGATCGGGGGGTACGCTCAAATAAATAATAAATTATACAAATAGTATTATTTAATTTTTGCCGACGTTTCGACCAACTTTGCAGGTCTTCACCAGGGCTACAAAAGATACAAAACATGGTGAAAATAAAATAAATGAATATAAGTAGATATAAAATAAGAAGAATTTGTCTGAGTGGGAATCACTTTATTATAATAAAAAGGTGCTGCCCAATTACATTGGGTTGCATAAAACACATCATACTTATTAATCGCTACAGACAATTTTCCAATACTAATATACAATTATATAGCATTATGTATATATTTTTTTTATAATTTTTTTCCTATATTTTATTTATGTTTTACTATTTCTTTCATTTATTTGTTAGTATTATATATCCCTTTCTCTTCCTTCTCTCCCCTTATAAATTTGTCTCATTCCCTAGATTTTTTCCTCTCTTTTCCTAACCTAATTCATAAAATGCATACAAATACATAAAGTGCAGTGGACGTGATCAATAAATAATGTAAAAATAAAAATAAAAAGATGGTATCAGAGATATAGTGGGTGACAATGTAGTTAAAATATTTTAAGAAGTGAATAGAGGAAAAAATTCAGTGTGTGCTCAAGACTAACTATCAATATTCGTTTTGTTTTATAGTTAAAATATTTTAACCTCATTGTCACTCACTATATCTATGATATCCTCTTTTTATTTCTTTGTCAGACAACTTCTTCTTATTTTATATCTACTTATATTTCATTTATTTTATTTTCACCATGTTTTGTATCTCTTATAGCCCTGATGAAGACCTGCAAAGTGGGTCAAAACGTCGGAAAAAAATTAAATAATACTATTTGTTTAATTTAGTATTTATTTGATCACACCCCCGGATCAACTCCTTCTCATATTATATCACGGTCAACCATCTCTACATCATAATTAATTTATCCACTCAAAAAAAAATCTATGAATAGAAAAGAGGATAACTTAAATAATTGTTAAAGAATTACTCTAGGACTTGCTACATTGGATTGGACGATTGTACAACCGAATAAATTTCGGAACAAGTGAATAGTGGAAAAAAAAAATCAGTGTGTGCTTAAGACTAGATATTAATATTTGTTTTGTTTTATCTTCAAGGAGTGTTAACATTTACAATATAAAGTCAGTTCTTAATGTTCAAACTTAGGCAGGTGATTCTATACATAATATCCAAAAAAAATTATATATGAGCCGAATGAATATATGAATTATATATGAATGAAGTATGAGCCGATTTTGAAAATAATAGGAATAAAGTTATGTCTTTTCTTAAGGTGGTCACGTTTTTATCTTTCATACGAAACGACAACACAAAAAGTATTTATTTTAGGTAGGTTCATAATAAACTAGACAAAATTCCCTTCAAATACAAGTACACTTTTCTTTATCAAATCTGTTATATAACTGTAGCTTAATATATGTGAGACTGTCGGTGTGTCCTTGGCCTGAGGTATCGAAGCTCTATTTTTATAATTTTGAAGAGGATCCCATTGTTAACTTATAAAAAGAAAAATACCGGGATCGAAACGTCAATAAACACAGAGGAAATGAACATTACTAAATGTTTATTAAATAATTAATAAGTGGCCTTATTCCCAATTAAATGGTTAAGTTTAAATTTAATACTCAAAGGTCGATTAAAGAAAAGTTGTAAATATATATATGTATATATATATATATACAAATTAGTCGGTGGTAAAGAATAATTATCTATAATATTATTATTATCCGCCTGGAACTTCATATATAGCTTCATCTCATTGTAATATACAAATATTTTATTTACGAAAATTCTTGGAATTGGGGCTTTTTCAATCTAGAGTTCAGCAAACTTTGTCTAAAAAAGATGGTAAAAAGATCGATAATAACAAAAATATTGGGCCGTTTTGGCCTATATAATCTTGTTATTTTGAAAAGAGTGTAGCTTACGGCTGAATCTTTTAGAAGGCCACCTTTTCTCTCGACTTTTTGCTCAAGTTACTTTACCATTCAAGCGTAAAGCAAATCGGTATTTACGAGTTTTTAGTACCGAATTAAATAGACAAAGTTTGCCGACCACCAGATTGAAAACTCCACAATTCCGAGAATTTTCGTAAATGAAATATTGGTAGATTACGATGAGATGTAGCTATTTACGAAGTTTCAGGTGGATGATATTAATTTGATAAAAAGGGGTCTGTACCATGTACTAGAAGCCAAAATATGAATTTCTATTGCTCGACAAAAAATCTCGAACGCACAACTTTCACTTGCCGCTTACCTTTGAATATAAATTATTTTCTGGTCATGTTGCACTATTATAAATTTTTTGAATTGAATTTCAAACCGAGCTAAAGCTTATAAATTACAGCTAACATATCATAAACTCCATTAAAATAACAAATGTATTACTTATTACATCATCGGTGGATTACGGATTTTACGATCCGTTGATTATGGATTGCACGATCGGTTGATTATGGATTGCGTGATCCGTTGATTATGTATTGCACGACTATTAGTTATTAAACTGTTATTTTCCATTGCAAAGTTTACTAAAACGGAATTAAGAGATTTGCATTGCCTATCAGAGACAGGTCAAAAGTTGTGACACTAATTGAAAGTAGATACTGTTGGAATATCACAAAAGGAAATGACATCAAACTATTTACTAATTTAATTTTCTAAAAGGTTGCATGATGATTTTTCGGAATAAACGGACGATAGATACCTAAATATTTAAATATAATATCAGATCTACAGTAAAATTAAGAGTACCCACTTTATAGAGACTGGTTGTGCCACAGGAGGATCTCCTGACCCCAGAGTCGATCTACGGCTTATGAAAAAGTACTAGTCATCAGCCGAATTCGAACTTGAGACCTTGAGCACTGGAAGTCAGAGCACTGAGCTACCCCGCTCCCTATATTTATATTAATTGAACATATAATGGAGTTTATTCAGTAGTGATAACAAAGAAACAAGAAACTTTATGACAAACAAGTTTTGACAAAAAAGATAGAGTTTGGAACCACTGTGCGTCAAGTAGCTGGTAGGTAACGTCCGAAACGATGAGGATTGCAAAGGGCTAATTTATAACATATTTATAAAACTCTTAACAGGAAACCAATCAAGTTAAGAACATATTTTAGTTTACTGTCAGGAATATCCAGAATTTGAGGATATAATGATGCTCTAAAGTAAACGTAACTAAGTGTTAGATTACAAGAATATCGTTATAATTTAAAACGACTGATCAAATGTTTAAAAACGTAGATATTTGTTGAGAACATCGTAACTGCTATTTTTTTTTTAATAAAACGTATCGGATGACATACCTTGAATATTAGACCAAAGGAGTACATAATGAAGAGACCAAGCGAGAAGGCAGTGTGCTTGTAAACAGTCAGATGCGCCCTCAACTTCGGGGCCGAGATCTCGGCGACAAGAACAGAAACCGGAGCAGAGACAATACCCGCGGAGAGCCCGGTCATCAGCCTACCTGGAACCAGCCATCCGGAGCCGCCGATGAACGACCAACCTGCCGAAGGAAGACAGAGGTCAGAAAATATGCTCCAAACAAAATTGAACACAATATAACCTATGCCGAACCAACAGAACTATAGTTAGATATGAAAGCAATGAACCATGCAAGATTCCGAAGTCTAATCTCCAGTAAATGGCAAAAAATAATTATTCAGACATCATGGAAACTGAAAATCACTATATCGATAAAAAGCTGATCAGAAATATCATATACCATAGTTAAACTGTTCCTCAAAAACTTTTTACAGCGTTAAAATATAAAGTTTCTCAACTATTCTGTTAGTTCCTTTATCGTTTACTAATATACAATACTTATGAGATGAAGAGATTAAGATTTGAGACTTTTCCTGGCTACAATGAATTGGTTTAAGAACTATTTTTTTATGAGAACTTATACAGCAAATACCCATTGATCACTGATAGCAGTCCAAACATAGTTCTATGTCAGAAAGTCCCAAGGTCATGTTGTTTTCAGAATCCAAGGAGGATTGTCAGGAATCGACGATGATGCAGGTTTAGAAACAACTGGGTTTAGATGGACCTAAAGTGCATCGTCTGTTGTAATGAACACAATATAAGACAGTAATAGAAAATAATATGACAATGTGAAAAAATTGATATATGGTTTTGAAAAAAATATAATTAGTTACATGAGAAATAAATATTAAGATTAAGTTGAAATATAATAGTATTTTTCCTTCTTGTCCGTAGTATAGACCCTCTTTTTATCAAATTATTAATACCCATTTTTTTCCACATTAATCGTAAGATAAGTTGAGCACTAAGTCGAAGAAAAAGGTGGCCTTTAAAAAAAAAGCCGTTTGGTCTATATAACTTCGTTATTTTGACAACCTGGGGATGTAGGTCACACCCAACGGCTCAATATTTTTGAAGGACACCTGATTTCTTGACTTAGTGCTCAAATTATCTTACGATCCAAGTTTAAAGCAAATGGGTATTTACGAGTTTTTAGTACTTATTTAAATAGAAAAAGTTTGCCGACATCCAGATTGAACGCCCCAATTCCGAGAATTTTCGAAAATAAAATATTTATAGGTTGCGATGAGACGAAGCTATTTATGAAATTTCAGTCGAATGTGAATAATTTGATAAAAAGGGGTCTGTACCACGGACTATAAATAGTGCTTACATGGACATAGTAACACACTCATAGAAGACATCGCCTCGATTAATATGCCCGAAAACACGCATTTGAGGCTCAAAAGAAGCTGGATGAGGGATTTCCTTACCTAAAAATATACTGAATTCAAGTTAAGAAGGGATGCCGCTGGGAACTCCTTTCAATCGCAGCAATGAAGCCACTATTAGTATTTTCTCTTAAGCAGACTCGCTAATTGTTATTACTTCTGACAAGTGTGGGTAAAAAATAAAATAAAAAAATACTATAAAGTTATAGTTAATTTTCACTATACTACTAATACTACTATACTTCACTATACTATAATACTAACCTATCATCGAAAAACTAAGTGCAAGAACTAATCCAATCTTCCTTCCAAAGGAATCCATCAACGGCCCAACTAGCAACGAACCGCCGATCATGGCGAAGTGGGATGCACTGCCTGGAAAACAAATAAATAAAAAATGTTTGCTTATTCTAATAACAAATAATATCAGCTCAGAAAAACTACTGAAATAACAATATTATCGATCTCAATCGTTCGAATTTTTTGGCTCGAAATTGGTACTGGGGTATTGCTTTCGGCCTGCTATCATGTTTTTGTTTTATCTTCATATACTTATTTATTTCAAGAATAAAATAAAATAAATATAATATAAATAATATTATAAATAAAACATATGGTCCAAAGAGAGATAAGTCTACACCAGAATTTATGAGGCTGCAGACCACGTACCATGTTAAAATAATTACATTTTTTTTTTTTTTTTTTTTTGTAGGGAATTAGTAATTTCTCTCATTATCGTGGGGACAATAAAGAAAAAAATGCATATTTTTTGAGCAATTCGCAAATAAATGTTCTTTTCCTTCATAACTTTTTCCCCTTAAATTTCAGGGGTATGTGAATATTTTTACCACCTGAAGGTAAAGAAGATCTTTAAATTGAGGGCCCAATCGTTGGATTTGATGAACAATTGACGAAGTTATGTTGTTAAAAAAAAAAAAAAAACTTTTAGAAATAATATATAAGATTCTATTATTCAATGTTAATCAGTTAATCAAATTTAAAAAAGAAATTCAGTTTATTTAAAATGTGATGCTTACCGAAAAATGTATACCTACGGATAGTTAAACATCCATGCTTGGGTATCTTGATGATTTAGTATTAATGGATGAAGATCAGAAAAGTATGAAAGAAAATGTTATAGTATTTATAAAATCCGATAAGGAACAGGAACCACTATTCGAAATAAATACACATAAAATTAAATACTGTAAGATAGAGTAAATTTGGGACACTTTTCAAAGTTTTAAGCTGCTTCTATCTTTATTTTCTAAGATAAAATGCTGAAAAAAATTATTAATATGTGAGGGTCAGTCTTCCTCATACAAAACATAGAACAATAACTCTAGAAACAAGAGTATTTTACTAAATAAATTTTTAATTTGTCCTAATCTTACATTGATTGGGGATAAAATTAGGGCAGTGCATTATTTCCATTAAAAACGGCAGGAAACATGATTTTGTGCCAATGTTACTCCACAATACTGAATAGGCTCATTATTTACATAAGAAACAACAAAGAAAATGAGTGTATACCAATTGTATCCAACAATGCTATATTTAAGAGCATATGAGAACAATAACTTCTTATTAATGATACAAAAATATTGCAAATAATTTTTTTAACGATTAGGAATTGAAAATTATATTATTCAATGTTGATCAGTTAATCAAATTTGAAAAAAAAAAGTCAGTTAGTCAGTTTATTTGACAGTGTGATAATATAATTTATTGAGGCCAATTTCGAGAAGGATTCAATATTTTTAAGATCGTTTCTGAGAATATGAACGGTCGGTTTGTGGTTTTATTAAAAGTATAACTCTTCCGACTTTTACCGTTAGCTTTGAGCATTTATTTTTATGAGAGAAATGCGTTTTACTAATGGCTCTTCCAGGAAACCTATTGATAGAGTAAAAGGACATAAACATTTGGAATTGGTATAATAAAAATTAAAGTTTATATTAAAAATTTTTTGATTAATTATAAATTTTAAAAATGTTTTCCTGTATATATTTCCTCATTTTTTATAAGTCCAGGATATGTAATTCAATAATCCTTTTTTTATCTAACTTCTTTGTTCAATAATTTATTTTTCTCTACAAAGTATTGGGTTGGCAAATAAGTCCATTAGGTTTTTCAGGGCGACATAAAATCAGTGTAGAATATAGATAAAATTTCTTTTAATCAACAACAAGCTGACGATTATTTAGTAAGATCTATTAATTTTTTTTTCTTAATGGACACATTTAAAGATATAAAAACTTATCTGAAATAGGTAGAAAAGTCGTGTGAGGATAAAAGAATAAACCCCCAGTTAATTGTTTTGGGGCTATCTTGATTAATTTGATGGGCCTTTTCATTTCCGTGTACCACATGCCCTGGTACCAACTGGAATGAAAATATATTTCTGGGTGTGGCGATGAAACCAAGAATTTTATATAGAACGTAATTGGCAATTGGGATCCTGTGTGCATTTTTTAGGCATTGGCAAACGAAAACTGAATCTGTGAACACGACAATATTACACTTTTTGTAGTTGAGATTAGTGTGTTCTGCAGCCTTGAACACTGCAAGAAGTTCTGCATAGAAGATACCGAAATTGTTTGGGATAGAGTAAGAAAGATTGATCTTTTTTTTGCAGGTCATAAACGGCTATTGAACTTGTACTGGTTGTCTTAGAAGCATCAGTATAAATTTTAATATGATGAACCATTAGCTATTTCACTGAAGGTATGATGTTTTACCATGTGGGATGATTTTTATTTTTTATATTTGAATTTTTATTGTTTATATTTGACAATTTATATTAGTCAGTATATATATTATTCCAATATTCCAACTAGAAGTTTCAGTAAAACGACTTTACTCAAAAATGTTGAAATTGGAGTCAGTCATTCTGTCAACTGAAAGGCTCGTATACACCATCGATATTTTTCTTTTGTATTTACTAATTTCTTCTCTTTTTATTTAATTTTATTGATACATTTTTTATATTATTATATTGTAAGGATGCGTATTCCTTACACCTCCATTTATAACCTCCCTAATCAGCTGTTTAATATAACCTTCCTCTGCTGTGTTTATTGAATCTTCTGTTTCCTGTTTTCTGTATTTGGATGGCTTGTTAAGTTGTCAATGGAAAATGTTTTTCTTCTTTTCTTTCTGCATATATGTGTGATTTTGGTTTTTTATTTTGATGATGCCTGATTTAGCAAAACGTTTGTAGGTTAACTATTCACATGTACATTAGAGAGACAAATGGCTTTATAGTTTGGGCATTTCTATTTATATCGTAATTAGTTTCTTATTAGGTACTGTAGATTTTTTGAAATACCTTCTCGGAGTTGAAAATTTTAAGAAGAGATATTTCAGTAAAGCAAGATGCTATATATTCTGAGGAACAAAGTAAAATGAAATATAATATTGTTTGTGGCCCTTATTTTTATCTCCATTCTAAGAAACATTATACTTTGATGGAATACATTCTAAGTAATTCTTAGATATCACTCACCGGCGAATTTTAGTAGTGGTTTTAATATTTAATATTTCGAGTTCTGTAGAGTTTCGAATTTCTTTTTCTTATTTCAATTTTTTTGTTTTTTCCTTTTGCACTTAGAGAGAAGTTCTCCCTGAACTTCATGACTAGACTTCTTAAGGTATCACTTAAAAACACTTTGCCGCTTTCGATTCGAGTTGTGTTCCTTAATTCTGCAAACTTTGTCCCACTTTGATCTATGCCTTTGCCCTTGGGGGAGAATAACGCCGAGTTTGAATTTACATTAATTTCTTTGTGAAGAAATGTTGACTTTGTATTATGTTTCATGTATTTTCCTATTATTATCTTTTTTTTTTATTTCTGACGTATTTAGCATATTTCATCCTTCAGGTTATGGATAAAAGACTACAACAGCTAAATCTGGTGTGTCCACTCACACGACTTTTCTACCTATTTCAGAAAAGTTTTTATATCTTTAAATATGTCCATTAAGAAACAAAAAAAAATCAGCACTCATTATTACTAAAATATTAAAAGAACAAAATCAACTTAATAAATTCGTGGGGAAAATTAAATTACGGCTTTAATAATTGAAAAAAGATGAATTACTGGAAAATAGGATTTTGCATAAAATCTTAAGACCACAATAAAAAAAAAAAAATAAAAAGAAAATAATAAAAAAAAAAAGTTGATTAGAGATTAAGTGATTGCAATGTTGAAACATAGAACTGTGAATAAAAGTATGAAATTTCTCACAAGAAATATCAATAAAATTAATATTAAAAAAAAAAGTTGAAATTGGAATTCATTCTGTCTATCAACTGAAAGGCTCATATAACATTCATACCCAATAAAACCCAGGCCCAGTACTCCACAAATTATATTATTAAAATAAACATATGCTAATACACAGTTTATCTTTTAACCTGTATGTTATAGTCCGTGGTACAGACTCCTTTTTATCGAATTATTAACATCCGGCTGAAACTTCGTAAGTAATTTCTTCTCATAGCCTACAACTATTTCATTTACGAAAACTATTGGAATAGGGGCGTTTTCAAAATGAAGAGTGGCAAACTTTGTTTATTTTATTAGTTACTAAAAAATCATAAATACCCATTTCCTTTCTACTTGCATCGTAAGATAACTTGGTCACAAGGACAATAAAAAAGGTACCCTACAAAAATATTGGGCCGTTTGTCCTATATAACCTCGTTATTTTGACAATTTTGGGGGTGTACGTCACGCCAAAAGGCTCAATATTTTTTAAGGCTACTGTTTTTCTAAATTTTGTGATCAAATTATCTTACGATTCAGGTGGAAATCAAATAGTTATTTATGATTTTTTTAGTAACTAATTAAATAGACAAAGTTTTCTCCCCTCGAGATTGAAAACGCTCCAATTTCGGGAATCTTCGTAAATAAAATATTCGTAGGTTACGATGAGATGAAGTTATTTACGAAGTTTCAGGCTGATCTTAATAATTTGAAAAAAGGGTCTGTACCACGGACTATTAGGGACTCGTGACTTTATAGTTTGGATTTTTCTATTTATATCGCAATCAGTGTTGGTCTGTTTTGGAGCTTATTTTATTATAAAAACAATAATATTAATTATAATACAACTAGGAATATCTGGTGGTTAAGGTTAATACATTATCATCGGTGATATGTAGAACAGTCAACTAACTTCCTTCGTTAATACATTATGATTACCAGTAACATGATAGAGGAACATACAATGAACCATGAAAACTTATATATTGAAAAAAATATGTATCGATTTTTTCGATATATATATATATATGAGTAATCTCTCTGACGTGCATATAACGTACTATTATTGATACAATTTTGATGACATTTTCTAGGATTATTCAGGTTGGTACCAAGCTAGTTACATATTAGTTTAATGAAATTCCATCCTATACCTCAGCTCCCATTAATCAATAAGCTTTTTTAAAAAAAAATGTTGTATTCTAAAAAATATTTTTAAAAACAAAAAAGTGATTCAAACCGGTTTTTTTCTAAACCTTCTACCATACTTGTCAAGTAAGTGAAAATCAGAAGATGCGTTGTCAAACAATTAAAATAAAACACTATAGGATAAATTAACCACAGTACTATTTGGAAATATTAGTAATAATTTTATAATAAATATTACTCACCCAGCCATGATATTTCTGTTGGCAGCCTTTGTTCTTTGTAAATGGAAGGAAACGCGACGGTCATCCCAGAGGAAAGGAGACCTCCACTGGCGACCAGGCATGATGTTACCTGAAAATAAAATAAGTGTAAGCCTTTCATTTAGGGGGGTAAGGTGGGCCAACTGCCCCCCTTCCCGTATACTAATTTATTTATTTATTCAAGAGATTTACAACTGTACAAATCTAAAAATAAATCCAGTAAATGTGCACACGGTAATAATACAATCACATGAAAACGCTTATTGAGAAACTGCCCATGGTAGGTGGTAGCACTCTAATAATATATAAAGATGAGTAAATTTGAATATCCATAATTAAGTAATTAGTATTTAAATTAAGTAAAAATAAGACAATTGAATATTCCTTTATTGCCCGATCCACTGCCTTATGGAATTCCTTGCCATCTGATATCCGCCATGACTCTTCCTTGTCCTCATTCAATCATCATCTCTACCAATTCCTTCCCACATCCCAAAATGGCGTTGTACAATGAAATAAGTATTATGAAACAGATTTTGACTGAGGTGAATGGTTGTTGAAATTGTTTGAGTTTTAATTTAAAAAATCACCCCATGCTTCTATAATTATTTTTTTTTTTACCTGATTTCTGTTTTTCTTTTCATATAAATAATGTTTTGTTTTGTTTTCAAAATGGTGTTACTTTTTATTCATTTTAATAAATTTTTAATGAAGATACTGTATATATTCTTTAATGATGATTAATGTAATTTTTGGCCAGATGTGGTTTTTATTTTTTTATTCATAATTGTTATTCATAAGGGACCTCATCCCAGAATAATGTTTATTTTCTATTTATCTATGTTTTATCTATCTAAATCACGAGGCCATCTTCTTTTCCGACTCCTTGGTATCGCCATTATCAGGTATCGAATAGGAAGCAAGGTTTGAAACGAGAGGGTTTGGATAGTTTTGAAGTTTGTTATGGAAGGATAGGTGTCTGGATTGGGCCAAATCGGAAACATATGGAACATTAAGGTCATTATGGATTATTTTATTTGTCACAAAGTAAGGAGCATTAAGGATTTTACGAAGGATTTTGGATTGTAAAGATTGGAAACGAGAGGAATTCGATGGTTTAATGGAATCATAAAGCTCAACTCCTTAAGTCCAAATAGGTCTTATTATGGTCATGTATGTGAGTCGTTTTTAATTAATTGAAAGGTTATAGCGTTTGTCTAGTAACTGCTAAAGTAGACGGAAACGTCGAGCAGTTTCTTGTCGTTTAAGTCTGGTATGAGGATTCCAAGTTAGACGTTTGTCCAGGTGGAGTCCTAGGTACACAACAGGGACAAGTGGGGTATTATTAAAGGATAGTTGTCAGAGAATAAATTTTATTTTTTATCTATCTATCCATATATTTATCCATAATATTAAATAGAAATAATAAGTGTTGTACTATTATTTACTACAATAAGTGTTACCGATATCGTAATAGCGTTCGGTAAATACTGAATTCAATAGGACGATATAATAAATGAAGTATTATATTTATTGTATGTTCTCATATTAAGCAATCGGAAATTGATTTTATTATTTTATAAATCCTCTGTATCACCACTACGTACATATTTGAAATTTCTTTAAGCATTCCAGTCGTATTACGTTTCTCGCATTACTGGAAATACATGGTTGTCCAGGAAAAAAATAATTTCACATTCATCGCAACGGAATTTATAATAATGATTTTATTTGACTTCCTCTCAAGTCTTCAAAGGTTATCTTCCTTAATATTATTACTGAAGCTTCCAGATATTTTACCATAAAATTACAAGATAATATTAAAGGTTAATTTTAATAATTCTTGTTAATGTGGTTTGCAACAATAATATAGATCGTTAACTGAGAATATAAGACAAAACATTTCATTGCATCGAAGATATTAAAAGGCAGTTTGCATTAACGAAGATAACTGATTAATGAGACTGGAGCTCACTGTGATTAATAATTCCATAATAGTCTCCCCGTTTAAAGGTCGATCTAATTTGTGTATCATCAGTGTGAATTCTGGAATTAACTTCAAGTGAACTAGTTATAAATTAGTTATGTGCCTATTTAATACTTTTTATTGTCAAATTAAATGTGAAATAAATGTTTTTCATCACTTGCGTACTGACAGTAATATATATATATATATATATATATATATATATATATAAAATAAAATAAAAAAATAAAATAAAAAATTTTCATCCTGTCTTTGAATCACTTCATGAGCCCTTAAAGTAAAAGTGGTTACATCGTATATTAATATGGTTCCAAAGCTTAAATAATAACGGTTATTTTTAATAGGTTTTTGGCTTTCTAACATTAAGCTACTTCCCATAGGAATATAACAGTAATCATAAACGTCAAAAAATATTTTAAAAATTTATATAAATAAGATTTAATAACAATATTTACTATCCCAACAATTTTTCTTTATTTTTATGACGTTTCGGGATCACTCTCCTACCCCATCTTCAGACAGTATCTCCTCCTTCTATTATTTCACGTGTTTTAAAGATTTGTCATAATTTTTTTTTTATATTATCATAATTCATCCCTGAAATTATATTGTGTACTCCTCTATTGAGAACCTAGTAATAAGAGTCCACAATATAATTTAAGGAATGAATTATGAAAATAGAAAAAAAAAATTATGAAAAATCTTATAAATAAATAAGATGATATTAGGATGAGATACTGTCTGAATATGGGATAGGAGCTTGATCCCGAAACGTCATAAAAATAAAGAAAATTGTTAAGAGAGTAAATGCTGTAATTAAATCGTATTTATATGATTAACATCTCCCTTAGAACTTATGAAAGAATTAAAAAAAAATATTTTAAATACAGATCAGGAACAAACTTTTAACCAGATATCAACAATCAACGCCAAGAAACAAAAATTAAGCCAAGATAATGTGTAGTCTAATTTAGGTCCGAATTACGAATATTCTAGACAAAAACATATATTCTAACAATAACAAAAAAAAATTAAGATATATAATAACAAAGTATTCGCATTTAATAATAAAAACTTATGTAAAATCTTATAAAAATTGAACAAATATTTACATAGATAAAATATTTCTGAAAATAATTTATTTTCCAAACAATGTAATTGGCACTTTTATATTAAGTGGCTATTCAAATGTCAATAGCCAATGTTTGGTATATGTGAACGAGGAAGCAATCGTTGGATTGATAAGAGTATTCATAAATAAGGAAATCAAAAGGGAAAAGATGGGAAAATTTTTACTGTTATGAAACTATAAAGACAGCATAACAATAAATTGGGGTACTAGACGACATTGTGGTAGAGATAAAAGCATGGAGATTCAGATAAGTACAATGTAAAATGCGATAAAGATAAAAAAATAAATAGTTTCAGAAGTAGAAAGATTGATTTATCAAGATGAACCACTAGTTTAGTGAAGAAGAAAGATTATATATATATATATATATATATATATATATATATATATATATATATATATATATATATATATATTTCCTCGGTTCTCAGTCCGCTGCCATTCTTTCCACATGCCCTAACCATCTTATTCGTCCTGCCTTAATGACACTAACGAGATCTACTGTCCCTGTAGAGTTGACGCAACTGCCGATTGTATCGGGACCTCTAAACGCTTTCTTAGCATACAGGCCCGTAAATCCTCCTAAGAATCTTACGCTCCCACGCTTCAAGAGCCCTTTCATGTTTTGCCGAGATAGCCCACGTCTCGCATCCGTATGTGACTACCGGACGAATCTTCGTTTCATAGATTGTCAATCTGGCATTCCTTGATAGTCTTCGAAACCTAAGATGTTTTCTTTAGGAAATGTTAAAACAAGGCCCAGGGCTATGATAGCTTAAAAAAGGATTTGGTTTCCATAAAAATAATTTTGGATTATCGCATCTTTAATATCAGAGAATTGGAGTTTTGGCAATGGCCAGATCCTCCACTCAAGCCCGAGTGTGTATGATTAGGTTAGTTGTTTTGTTTATATACATTTATTTTATTTTATTGTATTTATTATTATTAAGTTTCTGTATTATTTATTTTTATTATTGTAAATAGAGTGTGAGTGTGCTCTCTGAACACTATTATAAATGTCCTTGATGTGACAGAATGTAATATTTCTAAATAAACAAATATAAAAAAATATATATATCAGAGAAGTTAAAATACTAAAAGAAGTCATAGACAGACTATTTTTGAAACATATTAATATTTCTAAGTATGTAGACGGAAATGTTTAGTTCCCTTTGGTTTTTAAAATTCATCAACATACATCAAAAATGGGTAATTAATTATGAATTTTATTACATAATATCGATCAGAAGACAATTATACAGATTGTTATTACTTAAAATACATTTAAATTGGAGTAGATGATATTACTAAACTAGTACCGTCCGTGTTGCAATAGATAGAACAGAAGTTGTTGTTCATTTGAACTAGCTAGTTCACAGTTCACCTAGGAATCTCATGGCCTAAAGGAACTAATTTAGTTTTCTAGTTCGATGAACTAGCTTGTTCAGAAGATTGAAACCTCTCTCTTCCTTTCTAGTTCAATACGTCTCTAGTTTCAATTTAATATAGAATGTGAGAAAGGGTTGACCGGAACTAGGATGCGGTCAAATAAATACTAAATTTTAAAAAATAGTATTTTTAATTATAACGCCGACGTTTCGACCCACCTTGCAGGTCTTCATCAAGGCGTGGAATGTGGCACTGCAGGAGGCAGTTGATAGAATGAGTCTATTAATCTTCTGCACTGCCACATGCCACTGATTGATGAATACCTGCAAGGTGGGTCGAAACGTCGGCGTTATAATTAAAAATATTATTTTTTAAAATTTTGTATTTATTTGACGGCACCCCCAACCAGCTCCTTCTCATATTATATCAAGGTCAACCATCTCTACATCATTAATATAGGATGGTTTGAGCTTCATATCATTCTACTAACTAAAAACAACTAATTACTTGCATTGTTGCTGTTATTGTTTTTTTATTTCATAAGTCGTCGTCAGACTACTTTTGATAATTAAATATAATATTT